TTGTCCTCCACGCTCAGCTGTTCAGTAATCCTAGGTGAGACCCTTGATGTGGGCCCTGGGGTGCAAGGATGGGTCAACTGAAGCCCTTCCTCCTGGAGCTTGGAGTTGTGTGGGGGTGGGTGCAGGGTCTGCAGGTACAAGTACTGTGGCCGAGAAGGCTCAACCCTCTGTGGAAGGCATAGTCCGTACTTACAGACAGGTGTGTTTACAAGAGGGACGGGGCAGTCAGGTGTGGTGGTGTGCACCTACAATGCTAGCACTCTGGGAGACTGAGGCAGGAGGATTGCAAATCTGAGCCCCACCTGAGCAACTCAGTGTCTCACTAAGGTGAGACCCTGTCTCAAAATGAAGAATGGGCTGGGGATGTAGTTCAGTGTGAAGGTTCTATGTTCAGTCCCCAGTACTGCAAAAGATGGAGTGAGGCAGGGAGCTACATAGGGAGAAAGAAGCCAAGGAGAGGGAGGGAAGAGGGAGGAGGAGGAGGAGGCAGAGATCGAGACAGACACAGAAGAGGAGGTAAAGCGCAGGAGCAGATAAGACTCTGGAGCTTCGGGAAAGAGTGGGTGCCCTGTTTTGGCCTATGATAGGGCTCATGAATGTGGAGGGCAGCTTGCACGCTGAGCACTATGCCAGCATCCAGCATCAGCTCCAACTCCACTCTCCCAGGACATGAGTGTCATTTCCATACACAGAGAAACTGAGACTTAGACAAGTGGCGAGACTGCTCAGGTCTCCAGGGCTGATTAGGGTGGAGCTGGGTCAAACCCAGGCGTCCAACTCCATCTCCACTTCTAGCCAGGTCTGCCGACCTTCCCCTCATTGGGCTGTCCAGCAAGCTGATGAATGCAGGGACAGCAAGTCAGCGGAGATGGCCGGGAGCCAGAGGACGGAGCAGAGTGGCCAGGAAAGTGGAGAAATACTGGTTCCTTGTTTTGATTCTCAGTGAAGGATCCACCTGACCTTGTCCTGACTTTGTAGAATGCAAGAAGCAGGCTTGACGGGCAGCTCCTGCCCAGGCCAGAATGCAGCCCAGGTGGAGGGGCTATGTGGCCCTGGGCTCCGCTACTTTCTGTCTGGGGCTTTCCCTGGGCCTCCCTTCCTTCTGGGAAGAGGTTGTCTTGTTTGGTGCTAGGCCAGCTCCCAGCACCCTCCACACTGCCCTGGCTGCACCTTCCTTCCCGGAACACTTTCTCCCCGGCCTGGCCTGTCCCTCATTGTTGTCTCAATAGATGAGATGATTGTGCCCACAGAGCTCAGGTTTCTGCCAGGGGTATGGGGCCCTGCCCTGGCCAGGAGCACGGACATCTCAGCCCTCGGGGAGGAGTAGGAAACCCGAGACGTGGCCACTTCGGTGGGAGACCTGACAGGTGCGCAGCAGGTCTTGGGAACAAGCAGCCCAGGAGGGTCTGTCCCTGCCAGGGGAGGCTTCTGATTAGGAGGAGGGATGGGCCAGGAGGACAGGGAGCAGAAGAAGAGGGCCGCGCCAGGCAGACAGGCGCTCTTGTCTCTGTGGGTCCTCTGTGAATTGGGCAACATTTGGCAAGCAGACACACTGGTTCATAAAGCCTCTGTTTTCCGCCTGTTGCCCCTCAGCTGTGCTTCCTCCTGGTGGTGCCCCCTCCCCTGCGCCCACAGGAAGTGCCCCGACCGCCCAGGGCCTTCAGCTCCCCTGCTGGGGCCCAGACAGGCCATGGGCAGCCTCTGGAAATCAGTGTCTCTGTGGCGGGATCTCTGCGGACTCGGAGGATAGAGAAGCAGGAAACGCTCCATCCACCTCTTCCTCCTTCTCGGCTGTTCTCGGCCTTTCTCTCCCCATCGCCAGCAAAGGATGATCCACACCGAGGCACAAGTGCCCCAAGGGCTCATGGGATGGCTGTCAAGAGCTGCCACTTGCCAACTGAGTGCCGAGGATGTGTTGTCTCCCCCCAGTCCCCTCATCGGGAAACCGTAGCCAAGCGTCCCGAGGATCAAGGGCAGCAGCTGGGGTGTGGATGGCTGGACGTGCCTGGCTCACAGAGGCTCCATCCTTGCTGGACTCCTGCTGCAAGCCATGAGGGCAGAGTTGGCATCCAGCTCTCAGTGCATCGGCCCCAGGGGAGAAAAGACCCCTGGCTGGGGGCTCCAAGGGAGACTTGGGGTGCACGGCCTTCTCTCTCTCTCTGTGACCAAAGGGTACTCAGTTCCCTTGTAGAATGGGGATGGTGACTGTCATTACAGGACTATTGTTAGAGCCTCATGTGCTGGTCACAGACAGCTCTGTTTGGAGTTAAAAGCTCCATCCCTAGGCCAAGGATGTCTTGCCTTCGTGCGAGGGATGGCAGAGCCGCACACGCATGTTCTCGCCCACCCCACCTGGGGACCACGTGCCACCCCACAGTGACAACATGGGCCGAGCTGTGTGGCACACTGGCGCTCCAGGGACAGTGCTGGGTGGCGGCGTTGGCTGACTTCTACAGTGTGACTAATGCTACCCCACTTATTTCAGGCTACACCAATGGCTAACTTAACACAAAATCCCTAAAAGTTTAAAAAGTGGCTCTCTTCCAACTCAACAACCTTCTACCAGTGGCAGAAACAATGAAGAAGGCCTGGGGACCCTGCTGGCCAGGCTGGGAGGGACCCTCGGGGAGGCCTTTTTTCACATGTCCCATCTGGAGCTGGTTCTGTCCAGCCCTTTCCTAGCTTTCCTCTTGGGGTTTGAAGCTAGAAGACTCCTAGAGGCAGGAACAGGGCTTACAGTCTTGGGGGAGCCAAGCTTGGTGGGTGGCTACCACCCTGCCAAGGGGATCTCAGACTTGTTATTCTGCAAAGGTCCAGTGTGCAAGATGTGAGGGTGCCAGCCGCCCAGTCCTGCCTGTTACACAGCAGCACTTGCTGTTGCATGGTGTTCTACACTGCAGACACCTTCTCTCTGCTCCTTATAGTCATACCACTGTGTTAGTAGTTGGAAACCTGCATTCCATTTCCCTGCAAGTGCTTCCAATGGGTCTCAGCAGCTGGCACACTGGAGATACCCCACGGACCCAGGCTGCATGAGAGGGTAAATAAATGAGACCAGGTAAATAATAAATAGTAAATAAATGAGGCCAACCTTAGCCAGCCCTGCCCTTGACTTCCTTCAGACTCTACAGCTTGCAAAGCGCCTGTCCCCTTCACTCCTAGTTCCTTCAATTGGTATCGAGCTTCACCTCGTGCATGGCCAGAGCCGACCAGCAGAGGAGTGAGGATGCCTCCGTGGCTGTGTTCTGGGGTCTGACAGAATGTAGGGGGAGATGAGGGGAGCTACAGGCTGGTGGAGCTGGTGATGTGTTCCAGGGGCAGAAATCTAGGAGCCTACAGGACCTGCAAGAGGAGCTGTCCAGAGGCAGGCAGATGCATGGTGTGCACTCAGGGTGGAATAGCCTCTCCAGCCAGAATGCAGTGAGCTTTGTCCCTGGTGCCTGGATATTGGTCACCAGGCTCGTGCTCCTAAGCCCTTCCTGGGCTCTGCGTCTCTCTGGAAGGCGTCCCCTGTCGGGATCCTGCCCGCCCTTGAGGTTCCCCCTGCTTGTGGTACCAGTTCTGTGTCCCTGCTGACGCCACCACCCACACAGGGGGACCCAGGGGTCCTGACCTCCCAGGGCATCCTGCCTGTAATTTGCTCTCCTGTAGAGATGCGGGTTGTGATATTTCTTCATTCTTTTCTGATCACAAAAAGGCACAGCTTGGTTGCTAACTCAGGGACTGTACCAAGATGCTTTAACACTCTGGAGAATTAGTCAATCGTGTATTTCTTCACCACTTTTGAAATGGCTTATTGCGATTATTGATGGGAGCAATTTTTAGTGTTGCCATACCTTGTTTCCAAACAACAAGGGACCCTGACCTGTCCCCCCGCCTCCCACTGGAGATTCCAGCACCAAGCCCCAGACTCCACTCGTGCCGGCAGACAGGACCCCCGACCAGTCCCTTGTGCCCTGGCAGGGCCACCTCCAGGGATGGAGAAGCCCCACACCTCCTCCAGGGCCTCCCAAGGCTGGGCATTTCTCCAGGGCATGGTGCCCGCTGGTGCCTACCTGTGCCAGCACTGGCTCCCTGAGGTTTTACCCACCTGATGCTCCAGGAAACGCTTGACCACCCAGTGGTCTAAGCAAATAGCCAAGACCAGTCTTTCAGGACAAGCAGAACTCTCAGGTGACCACCACTTTCCTGAGGGCTGGAGCCTTCCTGTCTCACCCGCTGACTCTGGGCCAGGCTCCTACCGGCAGGGATGGGCCTGCTGTGTGCCCCTGAGGCCCTGCAGTGCCCTGGGCATGCATGGAGGGCCACAAGTGTTTGCCTTCCAATCAGTTACTGGCACACACGCAGTGAGCATTGAGGAAGGTCTTTGTTCTGGAGCCCCTGGCATTTACAGACCTATTCTTGGAAGCTGAAACCAGCTGTGCAACTAAAAATGGCTTCGCCCAATAGGATATGAATTAAAATGAGGTTGTGCTTCCCATTCGCTATCTCATACCACTATTACAGAAAATAAAAATAAGAGAGGGAGAAAGGGTAGAAGGAAGGAAGGAGAAAAGAAAGAGAGAGAAAGAAAAGAGAAAGAAAAAGGAAGAAAGAAAGAAAAGAAAGAAAGGAAAAAAGAGGTAAGGCATCTCCCCCTTTGGCAAGTGAGGGGACAATCCCCTCTGAGGCCCCTGGCTCCTGTTCTAGGAGCCCAGCTGTGGTCTCAGCAGGGATGGGAGGGCCTCTTTCCCTGGAACCCCGTGTTCCCTTCAGCTGGCCATTCTGTCCCTGCCAGCTGCCCCCTGTCCCCTGTGGGTGGACCAGCCGTGCACACCCTGCCTGCTGCGGAGCATCCACCTCGCGGTCCCCGAGACCCCTGCTCCGTGCCCCACCTCCAGGCACTGAGCCCAGCGGGAGCCAGACTTGCAGGGCAGTTGGGGGCGGGGTAGGAGGAGGGAGGTGACAGGGACTGATGGGGCAACAGGGCGGGGCCAGCCTGGGAGGCCCTGTGGATAAAGGGTCCCAGGGCAGTGTAGGAGCTGAGCCGGGTTGGCTGGGTCGCCACTGTGAGAAGCACTATGAGGTTCCTCCTGGCCGCCTTGCTGTCCCTGTCCCTCGGGGATCTTGGTGAGTGCTCTGCATCCCCGGGCACCTGGCCAGCGTCTCAGGTCCTGCGCCCAGCCGGGCAGGGAAAGGTGCAGGGATCGGGGAGGACCAGGGCCACATCTGATGTGTGTAACAGCTCACATCTGGGTCTGCCAGCACTTCCCCCAGGGCCTCCTCTGCTGCCCTCGTGTCCCCCAGCACCCCTGGCACCCATCCTAGTTACCCAGGTTCAGAGAGAGTGAGTAACTTGCGGAAGACACACGGGAGACCTGAGTTTCGATCCTAGCTCCTGCATGGACGTGTGCCCACTCTGGCAAGATGGAGCCTCTCTGAGCCTCGGTTTCCTCATTTAAAAACCCTGTGGCTGGGAGGAGCAGGAGGAGGGCTGCCCCTGGCTGGGGCCGGGCACGGGTGAGTGACACCTCCCACAGCAGGGGGAAGGCTGGCGTCCCACCCTTGTGTCCTGGGCTGTGAGAGGGGGATGAGTGATCTCCCCTTGAGATGTGGGGACACAAGAGACAGAACTGGAGGGACCAGAGAGCAGGGCCTGAACCGCGGCTCCACACAGGTCTGCGGCGGCTTCCGGGCTCGGGGTGCTCCTCAGGGACGTGCTTCAGTGGTGGAGGCTGTGCTTGGGGGTTTCCTGCAGGGCCAGAGGGGAGGGTCCGAGGCTGTATATGGGGCCCAGGCAGTGGGTGGGGCTTGTGTCAGCGCACGTGCCCCTTCCCTTGCCCAGTGCTGTCCCTTGCTCCCGTTTCAGAGTGTCCACTGGGGGGCAGGAGCTTCCTGGAGGAGGAAGGGGTCGGAGAGGTGGTTAGCGGGTGGCGGCATCCTCACCCCCACACCTGGGGATCACAGGCACATCCCTGGGCCCCACGCTCCTGACCCCGCGGGCATCTGGCTTCGGTCCTCCCCTTCCACATTCTGCCCCCTCTTGCTCGTGACGCAAGTGACGCACGGCACAGATCGGGCCACCTGGGCGGGGCAGGAAGGAAGCTTTGCTTTCCTGTCGGGGGTCACAGGCCAGGGACCTGTGGTTGCCCTGGCCTTTACGGAGAGGTGACCTGTACCCCTATCAAGCCCCGTTCTGCCCTGGGATTCCTGTTCTGGTCCCCGAGGGTGCGTGTCCCCAGGCTGATGGAGGTCAGGCCAGCTGTATCCAGTGGTGTGGGCCATGGGGGAGCCCCGCCAGGAGGTGGCCATGGGTTCCCACCAGGCCGGGTCATGTGCCCGGTCCTTCCCTGGGCTTTGCCTGTCTGCTCGGAGGAAGAACCGGGGAGAAAAGGGAAGCTCTGTCCTTGGCTTGCTGCCGTGACTTGTCCCGCCCCTGGCTTCTCCACTGCTCTCCGGGCCGATCTGTTCTCTGGCTGACTTCTACACCAACACCCCCATCCCCGGCCCCTCCGCACCCCGTGATATCCCCATGGAGGCTGTCCACTCCCTCACGCCTTCTTTGTCTAGTTGCTGGCTATTCAAGTCATTTCCAGTTTTTTGCTATTTTGAATAATGCTGCTGGGAATATTCATGCAGGAGTCATTACAGACACATGTTTTTACTTCTAGAAGCTCAATGGCTTGGCCATACGGTTGCTGCGTATTTCACATTTTGAGAAGCGGCCAGCCTGTTTTCCAAAGAGCCTGCGCCAGTTCACACTCTGAGCGCAGTAGGAAGGTCTCCCTTTTCCCGCATCCTCGCCCACACGTGTGATTGTCTGTTTCAGCTGTGAGCAGCTATGTCACCTACTTGGCTACATTTTAAAATTTGCATTTTCTCCCTGACTAGTGCCTGTGAACAGCTTTCTGTGTGCTTACCAGCCGTCTATCTTCTTGGGTGAAACTGAGATCTGTTACCCCTCATGTATTTAACTCTTTTTTAATGCCATTAGGAAGTAGAATGACAGTCTTCATTTCAGCCCTAGGCTTTTCAATGCCCATATGCAAAGATGTGTTGATTTTGTCCCCTGACCTGGTCTGTCCTGTGACCCTGCTGCATCAGCTCCCCCGCTCTGAGAGTGCTGGGCAGATGCTGTAGGGTTTTCTGCACCAGGTTCACATCAGCTGCAGAGAAACACTTTCACCCTCAGGGCTGGGCTTCTTTCCTTTTCTCGCCTTATTGCTGTGCCCTGCGCCTTAGCACTGTGCTGGGTAGAACAGATGAGGCTGGACACCCCTGCGTTGTTCCTGAGTTTGGGCAGAAAGCTTTCCTCTTTTGCCATTTTGATTTGACATTCACGCCACCCACCGGGCAACCAAGTGATCAAACCTGATCCAGCCTCCTCCCAATTGCAGATTCTAGCACCAAACCAGGCTGACCAGGAGGGCCCATCTTTCCATGCAGGGAGACCTGCTGTGTCCCCTCACCCTCCATTCCCGCAGCACCCACAGTCCTGTGTGTTTTCCCTGTTCGTTGGTACCCTCAGGCGGTGCTTAGAGACCCACAGTGGAGAGAGACTCTTAATCGGACTTGTACTGCTCACTCTCCCTAAGGGCCAAGCAACCATCCCGCCCCTGCCCACCTCTCAGGTTCAAATGGGACAAAGCAGGTGGAAGAACTCCCTAAACTTTGTTAAGGACCTCGTCAGCATCCCTTTCTAAGGGCTGGAAGAATGGCTAAGTCATAGGAAGGAAAAGAATCCAGAGGCTTTGCCACCCTTAGGTTATTGAGACTCACAAACCACAGGCCAAGGCAGAGTCCCTGCTGGTTAGGACCAGACCAGCTGTGGTGTGCGGAGGACAGGTCTGGGAGGCTCCGTGGGGGCAAGGCGAGCCCTCCCGGAGAGTAGCAGGGTCTTAACCGGGGCCTCTTTCTCCCAGGACTGTGTCTGGCTGCCCCTAAGGGGAGCGTGCGATGGTGCGCCATATCTACCGATGAGGCTGCGAAGTGCTCCAGGTTGCAGAGGAATATGAAGAAAGTGGGGGGCCCTCCTGTCTCCTGCACCAAGAGAGGCTCCTACCAAGACTGTCTCCAGGCCATTGCCGTGAGTCCTGGCCATAGGTGGGGGTGTCAGGAAAGGAGTGGAGTATGGGGAGCTGTGCTGGGATCCTCTGCTTTCTTCTCAGGCACATGTGAGCTGGGGGCTGTCCCTCGTCCTAGGAAAACTATGCTCTTTGAAAGAAAGAAACCAGTTAATTTCTGTGTAGCAGCGTTCAGCGAACTTTTGGTCACACCTCGGTACGACTCTCAGGAAAGAGGAGTCCAGAGCTGCTGCAGAAAGTGGCAAAAACAGGGGATGAGTGTTGAAGTGAGGGGGAGGAGTTTGAGGGGGACTCACAGCAATGTGTCTTTTGCTCTCATAATTTTAAAGATGTAAACATACACCGTCTAGTTTGATTGCACTCCCTCATGTTTGATGTGTGTCAGTGAAGGTCACAGGCACTCTGAAGGGTGAAATCTCCCAAAGAATCATTTCCTCAATGCCCTTGAGAAACAGGCCTGGGGAGTCACAGGCTTCTCGTCCTGTTGCTAGGACAGGGTGTCTGTGGCCTCAGGAAGACATTCGTCCATGACACTTGCAGTGGGAGAGAGAGAAGGGTACTGTGACTTGTGCATGGCCCCTGATTCCATTTGTTTGTTGAGATATGCTAATTTTTATACTAAGATAGTCTTTGCTCATTCATTCGACAAATGTATTCTGTGTCTGCCATATGCTGAAGCTGGCCCCAGGCAGGTAATTGGTGTCTAAATTGCTAAGGCAACCTGGAGGATCACTGTGTAAATGTAATGGAGTCCTTACAGTTCTCGGAGGTCCGTCTCACCTTATGGATGCACTGCCATCTCCTGCCTGTGTAAAATTCCTAGTCCCGTTCTGACCTGTTCAGCCTGAATATTGGTGAAAGGGGGTCACAAAACCAACCCCACTTGAAATCAGTACTTGCTACGATTCACCCAGAGAAAGCTGAGGCAGATGAGATGGTTAAAAATAAAACTTGTGTTATGGAAAAACCAGGGCAAGGCTACCCAGAAAACTATAAATATCTTAGCTTTTATTTTAAAAAAAATTATTATTATTATTTTTAATTTTTTTTGAGACGGGTCCTTTGAGTCTCCCCATGCTGAGATGACTGACATGCGCCTCCACAGGTTAGCCCGAACTAAGTCACCGAACAAACTGACATCTTAAAATATATTATGAAAAATTTATAGCCAATAAAATTATTTACATGAACACTGAGGAAGCAGCAGAGTGAACAGATACGCCTGAGCTCTGGTAAATGACTGCCGTTTGCACTCTACGCAGAACCAGGGCAAGCTGGTAGGAAAGATAGAATCACATATGAAAAATGACAGAAGCAGCATTAGTGACGCATGTTCTCCGCTGTGACCAGAGCAGGCAGCTTGTCAGCACTGGGATTTTCAGCAGCTGTCATTGTAACAGGCAGTGCCTGTCCTGCTGGCCACACTGTGGGGAGCGGGTCCTTGCCGGCCCACAGCGCTGAGAATCCTCTGGAAGGCAGGGCAGCCGCAGCACCAGGCACAGACACAAGCTCCTCACCGCACTGGTCCTGCCCTCCTGGCCTCTCCCAGGGATACAGTCTTTGGGGAAAGAGAGGAAAGATTTCTCAGGCAAAGCCGGAAATCACCCAGGTGCTGAACCCCGGGGGAAGGTGAAGGATGCGGCTTTGTGTTAGGGTCATATGAAGACACCTGAATCGCTGTTCCTTCTGTTCAGTAAAAAGACCTTCAGCAGGCATGAAGCAAAGCTAGGGAGCAGCATCTAGGACAACTTCAAACCCAAATGGTAGTGCTGCCATAGCCAGGGCCTGGTGTCAGCTCAGAGTTATAGCACTTGGGCGGGACCTTGGCCTATGCTTCCCCCTGCAACATGGGACGCTGTGGCCAGCTGGCCCCTTCCAGCCCCTTCTGGCAGTGGAGCCTCTCTGAGGCCCTGACACGCACTCACCTGGTCTCAGGGGGTTTCCTGCAGCTGACCAGACCCCTGCTCCTCCAGGCAAACAAGGCCGATGCTATCACCCTGGACGGTGGGCAGCTGTATGAGGCGGGGCTGCCCCCCTACAACCTGCGGCCTGTGGCGGCGGAAGTGTATGGCACGGAAGCGGGTGAGTTCTTGGGGACACGAGGCAGGGTGGCTGTGGCCGTAGCCTGGGCTCCAGGGATCGATGTGCACCATGCTGCAGGGAGCAGAGACGCTGGCCTGAGAGGGGAGCATGTGACGTCCCCTCTTACTGGAGCTGGGTGTGTGTGTGGGAGCACTGTGCTCCTCCCTCCAGCCCAGGCCGACTTCCAGGTCTCCCCGCCCCTTGCAGAACCCCGGACGAACTATTTTGCTGTGGCTGTGGTCAAGAGGAGCAGCAACGTCCGGCTGGACCAGTTGAGGGGCCTGCGGTCCTGCCACACCGGCATTCGCAGGACCGCTGGGTGGAGGGTCCCCATAGGGCTGCTCCGTCCGTTCTTGAACTGGGCAGGACCCCCAGAGCCCATTGAGGCAGGTAAGATGGCCCGGGGGTTCCTGGGTGAGCTCAGTAGGGGCATCTACTACCACTGCAGGCATGGTTCACTTTGGGGCACAAAGGTGACCACGGGGGGTGACTGTAAGGTAGGGGAAGGCTAGCAGGGAAGCAGGTGTCTCTGGGGAGGGGCCTGGCCCAGCTCGCATAAGGTGCCTGAACCTGCGCTCCAAGCCCATGCCTGTGGGAGAAGGGGCTCCAGGGAGTAACGGCAGGGGCTGTGCCCCAGGGACACCCTGGGGGGTGGTGCTGTGGCAGGACTGGCTCCACTCTGTGGCCCATTTCTCTGCTCCACAGCTGTGGCCAGGTTCTTCTCGGCCAGCTGTGTTCCCGGCGCGGATGGAGTACGGTTTCCCAACCTGTGTAGCCTGTGTGCAGGGACCGGGACAAATAAATGCGCCTTCTCCACCCAGGAACCCTACTTCGGCTACTCCGGGGCCTTTAAGTGAGTGACGCCGTCTTCATCCCCCGCAGGCCACGTGGCCTCAGCCCAAGGGGCCTCTGCGAGGGCCCAGTTGGCTCAGCTGCCGGCGGGAGCCAGGGGCACCAGTGCCCTGGGTTTTCCTGCTAACTCCAACCTCTCCCCTGCTGTGTGACGTTTCTTCTGGGGCCAGCTGGGCAGGACAGCACGGTGTCCAGGCTGATGTCCCTACCTCTTCCTGGAGAGCAGGAGCCCCAGCTTAGTTGCCCCTCCACCCTCGCCCCTGCAGCCCCATCCCTGAGTCCACTGAGCACTTCGCAGAGGGGTGTCTCAGGGCATGTTGGCAACCCAGGCCTGAGGATGAGCCACGAGGCCAGGACACCAAGCCTTTCCCTTCCGGTGTGGCAGCTCCGAAGCTCTCTTACACAGAACAGAAAGTGATGTCCCTTCTGCCCCCAGAGTCGTGGTCAGGGCCCTCTCAGCACCTCAGCCACACCCAGAAGGACCCCAGATCTCTACCCTCCCAGGAACCAACTGCAGGGCCAGGCCACTGACCTTTGGGGCTTCTGACTTCGCAGGTGTCTGAGAGATGGGGTTGGAGATGTGGCGTTCATCAAGGCGAGCACAGTGTTTGGTAAGAGCGGGGCTGGAGCCTCGGGTCCTGCACCTTTTCTTGTATTTCCTTGTAACTCTGACTGCGCCGCTCATTAGAACACAGAGCGGTGTGATCCCGGGTATTCTTCCCTCACACACAGACCTGTCTCTTTCCCTGCAGAGGTGCCGGAGCCCAGGGGCCTGAGCCGGGCCGTCCTGGCCCATGTGGTCCTGTGGCACGGAGCGGGTGCTTTGGGGCTGTGGGTTCCATGCTCATATGTTTTCTGAGCATCAGAACCAGGCTGTTCCCAAGGGTTTCCCCTTGGCATTGGCTTTGGAGACGGGTCCGTGTGTTTGTGTGCGTGTGTAGGTGAGTGGCTCTCACAGTAGTAGAGGAAGCACTGCAGGACGCCTCCATCGGGCAACCCTTGCCATGGACAATCAAGTGTCCCCTGTCCTCCTCTCTTCCCACCCAGCCATTGTGTGTCCTCTTCCTGTCCCGGGATGAGGCACAGCTGCTAGGTACTGGCAGGCCACCACATTCCCCAGGGCACCCACACGGGTCATCAAGGTCCCCAGGAGGGTCACGGCACTCTCAGGATTTGGATTCTCACCACCACTCTGCTGGTGTTCTTGTACTGCCTCGAGGTGTTTTGACAGTTGTTTCGCTTGCCCGCAGGATGGTTCTAACACAATCTTACTCCCGGGTTCATTTGCACCTCTCTGACACCTGTGAGTCGATTCCCTCGATATGCTCACTGCAGTTTGGGCTCCTTGCTCTTATTTGATAAACTTTGTTTCTTCAGGGTTTCAATTCAAGTACGGGAGCATCTCTATCTAGATATCAAACCTAAGATTGTAGGATTTAGACTTTAGGGTGACTGGGAAATAGTACGAAAGTCTTTGAAATCGATAAACTAAAGCCTATCAGTTTTGTCCTGTTCATTTGTGGTCTTGGTGTCTTTTAAAGATACTCATTTCCCCCCCAAATCATGAAGATTTCAGTTAAGAAGGTGAACAATTCCCACCTCCTCACAACTGCTTACATTTAGCATTTTCGCCCGGTATAGGCAATTTCTGCTATAACAACAAAAACTCTGCTTGTGTGCTCATGATATGAGGAGCTGTTCTTCAGAGTCTGTGTATATCTATGTGATCATCTTCTGAGTTGTTCTGCTTTGCTGGTGTGTGTGTGTTTTTCTGATTTTATTACCCTGGCACGTGGAAGCTCTCTCTAATAGAGAGAGGGACTTCCTTTTCTGACTTTGCTATTTATTTTCAGCTTTTCTGCACTAAAAACTCAAAATTACTTTGCTGGATTTCTAAAAAATCAAACTGTAATTGTAATTTTATGGAATTTAAATCTAGCCATGGACATTAGGTTGTCTAACCCATGACAATGTTAAATCTTCCCATTTGATCAAACTTCATCTTGTCTTTGATAGAGTGTCATGTTTTTTCGTAATGGGTATCATGCATTTTTTGTAAGCCTACTAACAATTTAATTGTTTTAGTTGCCATTGTAATACCTTATATTCTATATTATTTCTATTTAGTACTACTAGTAATGCTTGATTTTTTTTTGTTGGTTGATCTTAAAAATTATCACCCTTTTGAATTCTGTTGGTTTATCTGTTTTATGCTGCTTAATTGGCCTTTCTAGGTGGATAATTCTATCATCTTAGTGAGGGCTCATCTTTTCTTCCTTTTATAAATTGCGTGATTCTGATACATATGATTGTATTGGCATTAGGGTAGGAGGCATCCTTATTTTAGCAAAATTTCCTTCTTCATGTGGTTTTGCTGTAGAAATTTTGATGAATGAAATTTATGATGAATGAACTTACTAGGTTCTCTAAGTTATTAGTTTTCTGAAGATAAGAAAAGGTCACAAATAGCTGTTAAGCACGCACACTTTCTCTGCACCTGTGAAATTTGAAGGGCTTGTGGTTCTCTTCCTTCATCCACCAGGATGGTGGATGACCTTTGCTGTGTTCATTCTCTCCCAGGCTCTTGTCAATAGAACAAACTCAAAGGTTAATCCTGATCTGTTAGCATTTTAAATGCCACTAGATTGAGTTAGCGAATATATTGTGTGGGATTTTTGCATTCATGTCCATAAATGAAATAGGCCCATGATTCTTCCTTCCTGGACCTCTTCTTCTGATCTTAACATCAAGTTTACTATCATTTTCTATATTCTGAAGCAATTTATATACAATATAGATTAACACTTCTAAAATCTGGCCAAATTCATTCATATAAACACTTTCTGTTTGTGACAGACCCAGTATGGAATGCAACTCAAGGGTATTTTCTACCTTAAGTCTTTTGGTAATTTTTTACTTTTTCTGGAGATGTGGGAAAAGAGTCTGTCAGAAGGTGACCTGTGAGGTGACCTTTCCCAGCAGGGCTGCAGGGTGTGATCAGTCATAGGGTCATAGCTCCACCAGCCCCTGGATCCTTCTGGAATTCTCTACCTTTCTGAATGTTCCGGAGTCATTCACTGCCTTTCTTTTCAGGATTTCCTTCCTTCCTCCCTCCCTCCTTCCCTCTTTCCCTCCTTTTCTCTCCTTTCCTTCCTTCCTTCCTTCCTTCCTTCCTTCCTTCCTTCCTTCCTTCCTTCCTTCCTTCCATCCTTCCCTGCAGGAGATAGAATCCAGGGTCCCACACATGCTAGGCAAGTGCTGTACCACTGAGCCACACCCTTAGCCTGATTCACCACACCTAATAGGTGCTGGGCTTTAGCTTTCTCCTTGCTGAAACAGAATACTTGACAACCTCTAAAGGAGGAAAAGATTAATTTGGCTTATAGTTTTCAGAGGGTTCAGTCCATGGTCACTGGCTCCAAGGCCGAAGAGGCATGGTGGAAGGGCCTGGGAGGAGGACAGCTGCTCACCTCATGGTAGCCAGAAAGCAGAGAGTGAAGGGAGGAGCCAGGGAGGGAGGCACACTCATGCAGTCACACCCTTCCAGTCACACCCCAGTGACCAGCTTCTAACCCAGCCCTGCCTCCTAACAGTGAGCTCAGCCATGGATGCATCCATGGCTGAATCCACTGATGAAGACCCAGTCACCTGACAGCCCCACTTCCAAGCACAGGAGACCTTGGGGGACATTCTGGATCTGAGCTGTCACACTGCCTTCCTGTCTCTCACTTCTGTCAGTGGGGCAGGGTATTTCCTCCAATTCTGAATTCAGTGGGGAAGAGTGGGGCTCTGGCTCATGCTTCCTGCCTCGGCTCACCCGGGCCCTCTCCCTCTCACAGAGGACCTGCCAGACAAGGCCCAGCGAGACCAGTACAAGTTGCTTTGCCCAGACAACACCTGGAGGCCAGTGGACGAGTACAAGCAGTGCCACCTGGCCCGTGTCCCTTCTCACGCTGTCGTGGCCCGCAGTGTGAATGGCAAGGAGGACTTGATCTGGAAGTTTCTCCGCCAGGCGCAGGTAGCCCCACCTGGGGTGCTTCCCATGTGCTTGGAATTGGGGTGGGGTGGAGATTGACTTGTGCAGCTCTAGAAGTCTCTCCTGGATCAGGGGAGTCCAGCCTGGGTAGCGGAAAGGTTGGGCCCTTCTAGCACTGCTGACCCCCAGCAGCTCATGGCTGCAGTGGAAGAGGGGGGCACAGTATTCCCAGGATTCGAAGGCACTTCCCAGAGACTGGGCCCAGCTCAGCTTGTGCCTCTGGGATGGCAGGAGTCCAGCCCTGGAGGGTTCGGGCCGGGTCTTCCCCCTCAGAATTATCCTGACATTCCAGACACTCATTTTCAACACTGGGGCTTGGTTTCTTCCCTAGTGACTGCTGACTTCATAATTCCATTTTTCCTTCATCAGGAAAAGTTTGGAAGAAACAAGTCGTCGGCCTTCCAGCTCTTCGGCTCGCCCCCTGGGAAGAAGGACTTGCTGTTCAAGGACTCCTCCCTCGGCTTTGTGAGGGTTCCTGAGAAGATAGATGCTGGGCTGTACCTGGGCTTTGGCTACCTCTCGTCCATCCGGAACATGGAGGAAAGTGAGTGTGAGCAGGGAGTGGGAGTCGTCTTCTGGGTGGGTTGGCCCTGCCCGGAGATGGCCATGCCATCTCTCTGCCACCGTGCTGCCCTCATCATGGCGGGTTTGATATAGGTGCAAGTGTCTGCTGTTGGCCAAGGCAGGGAGATTGGGAGAGGCGTCTCTGAAAATCCTGGCCCTTGGATTCGCGCTCCCCCTGTGTCCCTGTGTGGTCAGGATCCCTAGGGCTGGCCGGAAAGCCAGTCTGCTTCCTGTTAAGTGAGAAATAGGCACAGGAGCCAGGGCGGACTCCAGTGCTGGAGACACAGCTCCTGAGCTTGGCCAGGGTCGGAGGCCACAGGGGACCAGCTCAGCCCCATGCTTCCTCTCTCGGGAGGGAGCCAGGGTGACCAGCGGCCCACTGGCTGTCGTCCATGGTGGTGCCTGTGGGCCCGGAGGAGGTCGGGCCTGGACTTGAGGTCCCCTTAGCTGCCTCTCAGGAGGGCACTGGGCTCTGAGCCCTTGGGGATGGGCAGGGGTTAGAAGTCAGGGAAGCTGTGGAAAAGAGGAGGAGGACAAGCTGAGGCAGCCCCTTGGGCCAGAGCGGGTGGGGAGCTGCGAAGTGGACAGAGAGGAGGGATGAGGGAGGAGGAGGTAGCACCCACCGTGTAACCTCTCTCTCCAGAGGAGGCGGATGTGGAGGCCCGGCGCTCGCGGGTTGTGTGGTGTGCGGTCGGGCCCGAGGAGAAGAGCAAGTGTGACCGCTGGAGCAGCGTGAGCAGCGGCAGAGTGACCTGCGCCTTGGCCCGCACCGCGGAAGACTGCATCCTGCTCACCATGGTGGGCGCCCGTGCCACGCGGGGTGGGGACGGGGGCTCCTGGAGGACCCAGCCAGGCTGGGCGTCCACCACTGCCAGAGAGGCGGCGGAGGGCAGCCTGCACGTTGCCCCAGGGGCATGGTTTTAGGTTGAAAAAGCAGCTTATTGTGGAGTTTCCACTCTGTTTACTAGGAGAACAACTCAGGATTATTGTGTATAACCTGAACATGGGAAACACACACACACACATACACACACACACACACACCAACCAACCAACCAACCAACCACCCAAAAAACCACTTGTGGTTTTATACAAAGAAAACCATGATTAAATTTTTTTTCCCCTCATTTTTAGTACTGAGAATTGAACCCAGGGCCTTTGCCCTGAGTTACATTCCCAGCCCTCTTAAAATTTTAATTTTAATTATTTTTTAGGGTAGGGTTCCCTGCCCAGGTTGGGCTCAGACTTACAATCCTCCCGTCTCAGCCCCGTAGAGTGCTGGAGTCCCAGCTGTGGCTGTGGTTTTGGTGATGCTCCACCCCAGGATTTCTTGTACATGTCCTGATGGGCACTAAGGGCCTTGGGATTGTGTTCATGTAGTTTCTGAGCTTTTCCACTAGACAGTAAACGTGTCACAGGCCTCTCCGACGTGAACACATGTTCTTCGGAAGCATTCATTGGGCAGGGATTTTGGAACATCTTTTATGTTGCTGGGTTCCGACTAGTCACGATCATTTTGCCTCTTTGCTTTGCTACTATCTGGCACCCTGTGGGAGGCTCTTGAGTAGAAGTCTTCGCCTCCAGCACTGCTGAGCACGCTGAAGCCACCTCTTAGTGGCCGCAGACGGAGGGCTCTGTCATCCTGGTGGCCCGCATGTCTGTGTGGGGCCAGATTGTGTGTGCTGCCCGTGAGCCCGTGTGACACCTGCTGTGTGGCCCTCTGAGGGCGGCGGTAGGGGTGTAGCTGGGCCCCCAGCTGGGTGTCCGGGAGTCACTGGTATGGAAAGGGATTTGCTCAGAGCACCGAGGGTGAGAGCACCCAGTGCGTTGCCTGGTTTTTCCAGCTGAGCTGGCAGTGAGTCAGTGGCCACAAGGTACTTATTTCCTCGGGGCGCTCAGCTCAAGCAGTGGGTTTTGAGAGACCATGGGCTGAGACGCCATCCCCAGGGCTGGGAAGACGGTGGACAGGAAGCCGCCTTGCTTTGCGCTGAGATTGGCTCTGTCTCCACAGAAAGGAGAGGCGGACGCCATGAGCCTGGACGGAGGGCTCATCTACACCGCGGGCAAGTGTGGCCTGGTGCCCGTCCTGGCAGAGAACCAGAGTAAGTGGAGGTGGAGTTCTCTGTGGGCGTGGGGAGGAGTGGGTCACTCAACCCCGGGGAGGAGTTGGGACCCGTGGACACCTGCAGGTGGGACCCCGGGGGAGAAGACGCCAAAGGGGCTCTGCTACCAAAAAGCTCAGCGCGCTGAGATCCGCAGACTGCCTCCTTCCTCCCACCTCCCTTCCCTCTCTCTGTCATTTTCTTTCTTTTTTCTGAGAGTCACTGGCTTGCTTTTGTGCTTTAATTTTTAAGTTTTTATAGAGTTAACCACCCAGGTGAAACTGCGCGGGGTTATCTTCCAACACTGCCCTTGTAAACTAAGGTTTAAGTTCTTTGGAGTAGCACAGGTTATGTTATGCCCAAGTCACAGAAGTTCTCCACGTTCCTCCACCTCCTCCCTTATTCAGTCTCAGCTCCTCAGCCCGAGTTCGAGGTCAATCAGAAAGGGCAAGGTTGTTCCTTTCTTGCATTCATCATGGAAACCTAGGCAGCAGATGGTCACTGCTCCTTGTCTGTCCAATAAATGTCTGATTTCTTCTCTTAACTAAAAAATATTAATAAAGCATAGCCGTGGGCATTAATAAAAGTGTATAAGCAGCTTGTCAACAACACTCAACAAACTGCACTCCGTGCTCCAGGGCCCTGGTAGAGACCAGCAGGTGTCAGAAGCCCTGGTGTCCCACTGTCCCCACCCCATCCTTCTGCCAAGGCCGTGACACTCTGCACTTCCAGCAGCTCACGTCCGTTCAGCCTGTGTTTGAACTTTATGCAGGAGTTGTGCAATACGTTTCAAGGCCCGATTCCCCTTGCTGGGCGCGATGCCTGTGGTTTTCATCCGTGTAAGAGCGCAGCTGTCCTCCGGTTGGTCTCATTGCTGCTCAGGCTTCTGCGTGTGACTCTGCCGTGATTATTCACCCAAGTCCCACGGGCAGAGACTTGCCAGTGGGTGGTGACTGTGGCTAGGGCTTGTTGTTGTTTGTCCCTTGGTGAAAATGTACCCACTTCTGCCTCGTGGAACGGCTGCGGCCATCTCTCTGGATCTGACTGCTTTGTGGGGTTTTCGAGGTGTGTGACTTCTCCGTAACTCGGTGTCCAACAATACTTTGTTCTTTCAGGATCCCAAGAAAACCCAGGCTCTGACTGCGTGAACAGACCCCCGGAAGGTGAGGTGCAGCTGCTCGGAGAGCCCCTGCATCCATGCAGCGGAGACCCCACTGCTCTTGCCTGGTGCCCATCATGGCGTGCTGCTGGAACACACTTGTTCAGTGTTTGTCCCTTTGGTGGCTCTCACGTAACTCAGGGACATTGTGCGGCTGCTTGAGGACAGTCCCTGTAGTCACCGGCCAGCCCAGCTTTTGCTTCATGGCCTAGCCCAATCTCCCCTTGAGGAGGGCAGCAGCTTGCCCTGGTGGGTTTGCCTAGCAACGGCCAGTCACTTGAGGAAGCCTCCCCTGGTGATGCCTCTCGACACGGCCTGGCTGGTGGACACTGCCTTGGAATCGTGTGCCAGGCCTCCCGGGGCTAAGGTCACTCTCATCTGTGTGGCAGGATACTATGCTGTGGCGGCGGTTCGGACGTCGGACACCGGCCTCACCTGGAACACTCTGCGGGGCAAGAAGTCCTGCCACACAGCCTTGGGCAGGACCGCAGGCTGGATCATCCCCATGGGCCTGCTCTTCAACCAGACCGGCTCCTGCAGATTCGGTACAGAGTCCCGGGAGGCAGCAGGGATGGGGATTTGCAGGTTGGGCCCAAAGGTGTGCATGGGTAGAAGAAAGTCCTCCCCAACAGCGTGGATTCAGCAGGATGCAGCCTGCTGGACAGTCTCCAGGTCCTGTCCACCCTATGGAGATAAAGGCAGGGGTATCAAGTCAGGTCAGGTGGTGCACGGCTATGATCCCAGCTTCTCAGGAGGCTAAGGCAGGAGGGTTGCAAATTCAAGGCCAGCTTGAGTAACTTAGTAAGACTGTCTCAAAACAAAAAGGGCTGGGGGTCTGGATCAGTCCCAGAATGTTTGTCGTGTGTATGTGAACCCCTGGGTTCTGTGCTCACACACACACACACACACACACACACACACACACACACACGACTGGAATGTAGACCTACTTCTCTGCTCCAAAAGAATAGGTGCATGTTCTGAGAAGTCCAGTATTTTTCTGGCACCTCTTGGAGCCCCAGGCCCAAATTCTTCATGCACCCCACCTCCTGACTGCTTACTCACTCTGCCCTCCGCCGGCCTCTGGTCGCTGCACACCCCACTCCCCTGGCCGGTGCTGGCCAAGCTCTGCCCGTGGTGGCCTGGCGACGTGGGCGCATGGGGCATCTCACTGTGGCGCTGCTCTTGCGCGAACGTCTCCCAGAGTGGGGGCCCCACAGCAGGGGCACGGAGGCTTTGGTCCTGGCTGGGGCAAGTGTCTCTCCCTGGCACGGCAGGCCATGGGGCTGCTGCTCCTGTCACCCCTGTGGCGGCTCTGAGCTGTCCCTGCTGCTGCAGAGTTTGGTAGGGTGACTTGTGCTCGGGGCCTTCTTGTCCCCTTTGCCCCCCTGTCCCCTGGGTTGAACGACACAGGGTTATGTGCAGATGAGGTTCTGCAGCAAGGGACAGAGCCACCCTCGCCCCATCCAGGGCAGAGTAGAGGCTCGGCTGAGACAGGCGTCCTCCTCCCTCAGGGAAGTGAGGTCCAGCACCGGCTGGACCTGTGCCACATCAGTTTCCACGCCAAGGTCACTGCGTGCCTCACGTAGGCTGGAGGTGCAGCCTGCTTCTGCCTCCCATGCAGGATGAAGCGTGGGAAGAGATGGGGCCACCCCTGCCCTTCCTCTGACGCGCTGCTGCCTCGGGTGGGCTTGGCTGGAGGCAGCCGTCCTGCTCTGTGACCACGCGTGCGCTTTGACCCGGGCACTGGGCACGCGGTGATGCAGCCGCGCCATCCAAGCCGCTGAGGAGGGAGAGGACTTGGGTGGTGACCGCCTGGCTCCTCCCCGCAGGTGACTTCTTCAGTCAGAGCTGCGTCCCGGGTGCCCCGCCCGCGTCCCGCCTGTGTGCCCTGTGTGTGGGCAACGACAGGGGCGAGAACAAGTGTGTGCCCAACAGCCAGGAGCGCTACTTCGGCTACTCGGGTGCCTTCCGGTGAGTCTCGGGCCTCCACAGGGTGGGTCTCGGGCCCCAGGAGGGGCCAGTCACAACCGAGCCAGGGCAGCACCCCTGAGCGCTCCCCTGCATCGCCCAAATATTTCCACCCCGGCCTCTCAGGAGGCTGAGGCAGGAGGATTGCTAGTTTGAGGTCAGACTGGGCAACTTAGCTAAACTATGTCTCAAAATTTAAAAAAAAATTTCTTTTGAAAAGGCTTGGGGGTGTGTCTGTGTGATAGCGTGCCCCTGAGTTTGATCCCAGTACTGCCAAAAGAAAACCGTTTTCAGAATCCATAAACCATAGCCACGGCACGATTCACAATACCTAGCCTCAGCCTACATGTATAATTTCATTAACCAGGGCATTAATTCTAGGCGGTGCTATTTAGGGGTGCGGTGACATCATTAGGATCATCCCCAGCTCTCTCTCTCCCCGTTCGCAGGAGGTATATTCTGCCACCAGGTGCCGCCATGGACCTGCGAATGACAGTGTGTGGTCAAACGGGCTTCTGAGCTTTTTCTTCTTTTTTTCTAATTTATTTTAAAAATAAAAGAAGGAAAACATATTAACAAACAGACATCCATTTACAAAATAGCATAAGAGCAATACAAGCAATACTGAGTTACAGACAAAGTGGTAGGAAATTAACAATGGTGGTTATATTACTTGTTAATATCTTCAAAGTGGTTCTGAGCTTTTTCATACAAACTCGGTACCTTTGCTCCCGTGACGGGATGATGCACAGTTTTTGTTATATTTTGGGTGAGTCATAAACATCAAACAAAACTGTGCTTACTTTAATGTACAAGAATATCTTTTTTAAAAAATTTATTTATTTATTATTACTGTTCTTGGGCTTTTGTTTTTTTTAATGTATGTGGTGCTGGGGATCAAACCCAGGGCCTTGTGCATGCAAAGCAAGAGCTCTACCACTGAGCCACATCCCCAGCCCTACAAGAATATCTTTGAGGGTCTAAGGATTTGTGAATAGAAGAGCTGTGATGTGAGCCCCCTCAGCATAGTGGCCAGGCAGAGTCCGGTAGGAACCCCAAGGCGTCGTGTGACCCCCGCCCCATTCCAGACTGAGGAAGGCGTCATCTCCCTGAGGCCCTCTGCATGACTGCATTTCTCTTTACACCAGAAGACTGCTTGGTCCTTTGTTCTAATTATATCTAGAATCTAGACTGGACGAATTTATAACAAAATAGTTGAAAGTTGAACCAGAGGTCTTACTCATCCTTTGATTTCTAACCGTGGTAGCCCTTGTTTTTCACTTCTGACTTTCTGCTACTTCCTGTTGGCTCTGACAGGGGGGTTCTTCCTCTCCGATTCCCCCGTCTCTGCCCACAGCACAGTTCACCTCCCAGCGTTCAACACCGTGGTGTCATGTTGGCTGCTTACCTTATTAAGGCCACGCGATCATTAATTATGTTCTTATTAAATGTGTGGCTTGGTAAGATTAGGTTTCGCTGATTGTGCAAACCTGGAGATGACAGATGTCTTCTTTTAAAAATTTGCTTCATTTTCTATGCTTTGTAAAGTTCATGCACGTGCAGCTCCCCGCTGGCAATGCGTCTCGGGACCGCGCAAGCTGTGCACCGCCTCAGTTTCTCTGTTTTCCTGGGACTGCTGCTCCGGAGACCTCTGTCCTCCAGCCGCAGCCTGGGTCAGGAGCTCCTGGGTCACTCGTGCATCTGTGGCCCTGGGACACCCCCATGGCCGTAACGTTGGGCTGTCTCTTTCTCCTACTTCGCATCGGGCAGCCTGTTTCCTGGATTTCATTTCTTTAGCTTTCTTGGCTTTGTTGCAACAGAGCACAGCTTCCTGAAGCTTCCTGAGGAAGGGCGAAGGGTGCTGCTATTTTCTGAGATATTTATTTACATGTCTTCAGACGTCTTGTGCAGTGATTCATCGTTTGGCTGAATGACAGAGTCTAAGTTGAAAAACTTTTTCTCTAGGAATTTTGACAGGATTTCTGTATCTGGAAAATGGCAGCATGGGGCTATTTCGACCAAACTTTCCCCCTCAAGATGAGCATAAATACGGCAGGCCCTGTGCCCTGCGGGAATTCATGCACGTGTCCTTAAGAACATGGAGAAAGTGGCAAAACAGTAAGGAATTATTTAGGGTAAAATGCAAGGGGAATGAGGACTCAGAGAGGACGTGGAGCTGCTTTGTCCTGAGATGCATCCTTGTTCCAACCATCTGGACCCTAAAGGGCTGCCTGCACCCTTAAAGAGTGAACCGGAGTAACTTCTGCGTCCACCCCTGGTGGGTGTGGAGTTTGCCTGAAGTTGTGGAAAATGGCAAGGAACACTACTTCTGAGAAGTTGAAACCGTAACCAATCCTTCAACAGATCTGCGATTCAAACTTGTGGCCCCAGGGATGGTCCAGAAATCTCCAACTCGTAAATATTTTTTAAAGTGGTCCTAGACTAATGGCTTCTCTAGAACCCCTTGGATCATAGAGTCTTCAGATTACTCTTCAAAGACTACTAGAAAAAAATACACTGTCAATGACAATGAGCAATACAGTAGCAAAAAGTAATCGGAAAAAATTGGCAAATGCAAAACCCAACTGAAAAAAAACAAATTAGTGTTTAAAAAATGAATAATTAGATCATCTAGAAAGGAAAAAAATAGCAGTTGAAATTAACTATGCAATTGACCAGTTTAATCAGCTAGATGTAACTGGCAGGAGAATTAGTGAAATGAAAGCTATGTGAAAAACTATCCAGAATGCAGCATAGGAGGGCAGAAGATAAAAATATAGTACAATCAAACTATTAAGTAATTAATCCATTCTCTCCTACTTCCTAGAATTGCTTTTGAGAAAAATGTTATTATCTTGCTTGATGATTTTTGCATACTGTATTTTCTTTTTCTTGAAAAATTTTTGAGCTTTTAAAAAAATCTCTGGAGTGCTGAAACTTCATAGTGGTATTTATTTATTTGTATGCAACTTCTAACTTATTGGATTGGGTACTTGATGAACCTTTTCATTTGAACACAAGTTATTTAGTTCTGGGAAACTTTCTTTCTTCTTTGGCAATTTCTAGTTTAAAAAAATTTTTAAATTATGGATTCTCTTGGGTTATCATCTGGCTTTCTCATTTACTTTTTCTTATCTGTTCCTTATGTTCTAATTTCTGTTTTATTTGCTGAGTTTGATCTTTTATCATTTTAAAGAATTTTAAAGATTTTTTAAAGCTTTCTAATAACTCGTATCTTGGCTGTTCCTTTTTTTAGAGCTTTCTGTTCTTATTTTGTGAGTGCTGTGTCTTCTTTTATATATTTAATGATATTAATTATAGCTTTTTTCTTAGCTTTATTCTCTCCCCTATACTGTCTTTGTACCCTGAATATAATGATTTGATCTCTACTTTTTATGGTCTTTCTTTAAATATCAGATGGTCTCTGGTTCTTTGTCCATATTTAAGAACAAAGTATTAGGTTAATTTAAAATGAAAAGATGGAGATGCTGGACTGTCTGTTGGCTTAATGCCAGTTACCAGGTCTTGGTAGTCCTGGGCCTCACTGAAGTGCTACTGCTTTGTGTCCTTTTATTGTGAACACCACAATTTTAGAATCTGTGGGGTTTTTTCCTTGGATGATCAGATTCCCCAAAGAAAGAATCTTACTGTCTTCTCCCTGGGAAGACAAGTCCTGGCAGGCCTCCTGTGGGGTTTGAGGGAGGGCACACAGAGGTGCTCAGTCTGCCTTTTAAAACCATAAATTCCTAGAAATATTTTCATCTTTTGCACGTTTACTTCCATGTTTCAGTTTTTGGACTGTATTTGCAAAGCTCTAATGAAAGCTCTAAGCATCTCTTTTCTCTTGTGATGTTTATTTTCTGAAACATTTTAGGTGCCTGGCTGAGAGGGCAGGAGATGTTGCATTTTTGAAAGATTCCACCGTCTTGCAGAACACAGACGGTAGGTGAAACCATCCCTTGAACTGTTGTCTTCAGCTTTGTATCTGTAAGAGACCTAACAGCTTTCAGACTTTTGACTGGAGTCTAGGATCTTAATCTTGGGAGACAACACAGTAATATCTGTGGGTGCCACTGTGAGTTTTAAAGCTGAATTCACACACATGTGGGTATGTGTACGTGTGTGTGCACACAAACACACACACACACACCCTGGCTTTGTCTAGTCATGTGCAGAAATCTGTCATCTGCTCCCACTAGATCACATGTGCTGGGAGGAAGCTGAGAATAGATGATCCCAGAGAACTGAACAATGCAAACAAAATTTCTCTTTTGAAAGAAGGAAGTAGAGGGCTTCCTCCAGCCCACCCCCCGACTCCCCCCCATGAGCCCTCCTGCGCCTCTGGTCTCCTCATGGCTCTGGGAGAGGGACGAGGGCCTGACCAGAGTGTCTAGAATGATCTCAGCGTCACAGAGAGGAACCAAGAGGAGGGTGCTGTGGTTTCACAAAGAGGATGTGGCAGGAGAGACCAGGGCACCTGAACAGGGACCCGAACTGGGGCATGGCTGAGCCTGCGTGTCTGCGCTCAGAACTGATGACAGCCAGCCGATGCGGTCCCCAGGCACCAGACATGTCCAGCTGAATTTTAAGTTCCTCTGCGACTTACAGGGTGTTTGATGAGAACTGACTAAGCATCCTTGCTAGCCACGGAAGTGCCGATCCTTTCTCTGGTTACAGTAAGAGCACTGACAGGGAAAGGAAAGGGGAAGTTCTTGAACATAAACCAGCTACAGGCTGAGACACCTGATTGGAAAACCTGAGAGTGGAAATGTTCCAGAATGGCGAAATGCTATGGGGAATCCCATCCCTGCCCACATGACGGGTCAGTCACAGTGCAGAGAGTCACTAAAAACACCGTAAAAAATTAACTACTGGTTATGTGCATATATTGTGCATATGAGACATAAGTGAATTTATAATGAATATGCAAGTATCCCAAAATCTGAAAAAAAATCCAAAATCCAAAACACTTCTGGTTCTAGCTTTTTGGGTAAGTGATACTTAACCTGTTTCTTTCTAAAAGAAAAAAAAAAAAAAAACTTTGCTGGGTGTGGTGGTGCATGCCTGTAATTCTAGCACTGGAGAGGCTGAGGCAGGAGGACGCATGCTAAGTTTGAGGCTGGCCTGGGCTACCTAGTTCAAGACCAGTCTGAACTGCATAGCAAGACTCTGTCTCAAAAAATAAAGAATTTTAAAAGAACTTTGAAGAGCTTTACTGATAGAATTTACACACCATAGAACTCACCCAACCCACCTATTCCAGGTGTATGACTGGTCTCCAGCAGACTCAGAATTGTGTATCCACTAACAGATCCCCTCAGAGCACTTGAGTAGCCCCAGAAAGAGCCCCGGTCAGCAGTCACCCCACCCACGCCACTCCTTGAGCCCTGGGACTGTCTGTCCCCATGCTGTCTTCGAGCATGTGCCTGGTCCTGCAGATGGGATCAGAATTTGTGGTCTTTTGTGCCCAGCTTCTTCTCGTAGCATCATGCTTCTGAGGTCCGTCCTTGTGTGACCGTCATCTTCTTTTCTTGCTGAATGACAAGCCCACCCCAAAAAGTCCCCCCAGCTAAGCAGGGTGGCTACAGCTGCTGCCTCCTCCTTTCTGTCACCAGGGAAGAGCTCTGAACCCTGGGCCAGGAACTTGAACCTGGAGGACTTCCGGCTGCTGTGCCTCGATGGCACCCGGAAGCGTGTGACGGAGGCTCAGAGCTGCCACCTGGCCGTGGCCCCAAATCACGCTGTTGTGTCTCGGAAAGATAAGGCGGAACTCCTCGAACAGGTGCTGCTCGACCAACAGGTGCGGACTGCAGGGCGCCAGCTCTTTCCTGACCGCAGAGGCTCCTGGGGGGCTGCTGGGGACAGCATTTGCCACGTGCTGCCTGCTGTGGCGTCACCCGTGACCTCAGTGAGGACCACGGGGACTTTGGCCCTGGCTTTCTGGGACTGAGAGTCTCTGTACTCCTGGCCCTGCACTCTTGGCAGCTTGAAACCGGTTCTTTCCTTCCTGTTGCTTTAGACAAATGCGGGCGCGTTCCTCCCACAGGCCTTGGTAGGGTCTGGTTTACTCTGCTATGCTTCCTGGCCAGCTGGATCCAGGTTCTGGACAAAACTCCTCAAACAACAGACCCAGAGCTCGCCCTGTAGATGTAGGGCGATGTCCTTGTGACTTGGAGGAAATCCTAAAGTGCCATTAAAATCTGGGGTTCTGCACTGGCACCTCAGTTGCCCTGTGACAACATCATGTCCCCAGGTGTCACAGTGTGGAGGAAGGACTGCGCTCTGAGGGGCTGCCTGGTCACCTGCCGGGTGGAGGGAGGTTGGGTTTCCTGTGCAGATGGCCTCCCTGAGGGCTGGCGCCTGGCCTCCTGGGCGACTCACGTACCCTCCGCTGTTTCACCCAGACTCGGTTTGGAAGAAACGGATCCAGGTGCCCAGGAGAGTTTTGCCTGTTCCAGTCTGAAACCAAAAACCTCCTGTTCAATGACAACACGGAGTGCCTGGCCAGACTCCACGGCAAAACAACCTATGAGGCGTACTTGGGACGGGAGTACGTCACCGCCACCGCGAATGTCAAGCGGTGCTCCACCTCCTGTAAGTGGAAGCTCGGTAGCTTTGCTGGGAAGCCACCGCGGGCGGAGGGAATCGCAGGAAAGCAGAGTCTCAAAAACCTAGGGAAAGGCACTGATGATCACTAACCCTTTAAAATACTTAGGAGACTTCCCCGAGTGTCACAGGGCTTCTGGCGGCGTCTCGACTATGAGCGGGCAGCATGTCCCCTGGGCACTGTGGTCACCAGGTTCCTGCTCCCGCCCCTCTGCCAGGGAGGCAGAGGCATTGGGGATGCTGGGCTCCAGGCCTGGGTGTTGCTGTCACTTTTCCCCTGCTCGCAGCATAGGATAATCTGTCCCAAGGGGACATTTGGCAATGTCGGGAGGCATTTTTGTTACCATAATTTAGGAGATGCTGGTGGTGTCAGGGTGTAAAGGCCAGGATGCTTTCTAAGGAATGCACGGACAGTCTTCCCCCCCGCCCCTCCCTGAGAACTATGATCAGGCTCCAAATGTGAAGGGTGCCGAGGTGACAGCACATCTCGGGTCACTGGCGTGCAGGTGAGGCCCACACAGAGAACTGCAGCTGTGGGGTGACGCTGTATGGACTGTGCGCTTGAGGGCGGGTCTGCCTGCTCCACTGCCCCAGCTCTCAGTACAGTGAGTCACCCGCAGCAGGTGCTCAGCAAGTATTTGCAGGGAATGAATGCACACTCGCATGCCCGAGTGCTCTGCAAACGGATCGAATCACTCGCATTCCAGAAGTCAGGACCTCGGATGCGGATGGAGAATGTGACAGCTGAGTCTCCTAGAGACAGGGGCGTGGGTGGTTCTGTCCCTTAGGCCAGCACAGGGGACCGCCCTGGCCTGGGCAGAACAGTAGCGCCTGTGTTCTCGGGGCTCCGCAGGCTAGGAGAAGAGAGGGTGGGCCCCGTGTGGGCGAGGCAGCACTGACTCACAGTGCAGAAGGGCAGCGAAGACGGGTTTATTGTCCTCTTGGATTTACTACTGTAAAACATGGATTTTTTAAAAAAAATCAGCTTTTCAACTGGGCATGATGGCTCATGCTTGTCATCCCAGCACTAGGGAGGCTGAAGCAGGGAGATTGCTGTCAGTTGAGGCCAGGCTGGGATATATAATGAGTTCAAGGCCAGCCTGGACTACATGGAGAGACCCTGCTCAAATGAAACAAAAACCAAAACAAAACAATTCAGTTTCTGAATGTCTGCTGTATTGTGTCCACAGCAATCCTGGAAGCCTGCGCTTTCCTCAGCCAGTGAACCCTATGGAGAAGCCCACTGTCCCTGGTGTGCCCTCCACACGTGCCTCAAACCTGACCCGTCTCGCTGAGCCTGCATCCTCCTCACCAAGGATGAGGCTCCTGGTCCCTCTGCTCTCACAGCTCCCTGCTGCCATTTTAGGAAGAAATAAACTTTCTGAGCTGAGAAATGTTGTCGGCTTCCTCTCCTTCCTGCCTCTTTCCTAGAATGTTGTGCTGAAATCATGCCCCGGTCAGATGTGGCAGTGGACCCATTCCTTCCGGGGTCGGGTCCAGCCCTACACTTCTCCTGCGCCGTGGGCCCGATGCCCGGTGTCCTGGCATTGGGGACAGTTTCTCCACAGGCATCTGGTTTGTTCAAATGAGTGTCTCCGTGTGCGTGTTCCTGTGTGTGTGCCTGTGGGTATGTGTGAGCGAGCTCCAGATCGTGTGTGCACACGTGCGTGCATGTGGCAAGCAGCTTCTCTATACGTGTGCCCATGTGAGTGTGTGCATCCACGTGTGTTCCCAAGGTGGGCGGGAATAGCGGGTAGAAGAATCAAAGGGTCAGCGTAGGAAGCTGAGTAGAAGGAAGAGCTGCGTGTCTTGGTTACTTTTCTCTAGTTGCTGAGACAAAATACCCAACACTCAAAATGAAGGAAGGAAAGGTTTATTTAGCTCACAGTTTGTGGAGGTTTCAGTCCATTCTTGGCTGGCTCCAAGGCAGGGTGGCACAGGGTAGGGGGCAACAGCAAAGACAACAGGCACAAAAGAGGGGAACAGCAAGCAGCCTCTTTCCCTCCCTTACATTGTAAACAGGCTACCCCACCCAGGCACGTGTAGCTTTCACATAATCTCCATGCCTTCCTCTTGCACAGGCTCAGGATGTATACAAAGTAAGCTGAGGTTCCTGCTGAGTCGCTTAGCCAAACCTCTAGACTCCCTAAGTTGACACGATGTGTCAACCATAGCACTGTGGTTGCTTGGTGCTGAAGGTTAACATCATCTGTACAGTAACAGGAGGGGGTGAAGCATTCTGTCCTTCCCATGCTGGCCTCGGCTGCAGCTTCCTTCCATGGGAGGAGCACGGCTTCCCAGGAAGGGGCTGCACTCACTTGGGCCCCAGGTGGGGCGGGACAGTGTGGTCCCCCAGGGGGAAACAGGCTTCTGGTCTGGGCCAGAGGCCCAGAGGGTGGCCCTGAGGCCCCACAGGCCTCTGAACAATCACCAAGTGCCAGGAGGTACCCTTTCCTGGAGGGACAGTCCTGCCTGGGCAGTGTGGCCTGCTAGGCACTGTGGCTGGATTTCATACACACACACACACACACACACACACACACACACACACACACGCCTTATGATCATTACTCGTGATGTCCACTTAACTTGAGGTGGACCAGCCCAGCAGTCTGGTGAATTCTAGGTGTCTGCAGATGGCTGACTTGGGGGCTGCAAACCAAGGAGGACAGACTCACTGATAATCTGACTGGACAGGGCAAAGATCGGGGGACTGCTGCGGCCCGTCGCTGATATCTGTGATTCCTTCAACAGCCAGTCCCACTAAAGACGTCTCCAGAGCAGCTGTGGTCATGACTTCAGCCCCACACTTGGGAGAGAGGCAGTAGCTGCCATTCAAGCAGCTGCTCCTCCCGAAGCTCTTCTGAGCCTCTCTAGGTGCTGTGACGATCCCCAGGGTGCCGTGGGCTCTGGGAGACGATTCTGCCTTGGCTGCAGCCAGCCTAAGATGTGGACCTACCCATGTTGACTCCACCCTGCAGGCCCTGCTGGTGACTGTCCTGAGCTGCCCCTCCCTCTGTTATCACTGCGAAAGTGCTCAGGCAGGTCCACAGCATGTACACAACTGCATGTGGCAGGGTCCGTAGAAGCAGTTCACACTCATGCTCTTGGTTTCCGCAAGAAGGGCTCCCTGTGGTGTCCTGACCCCCCCTGGTGCTGCTGCTGGGTACAAATAAAGCCTCACTCTCGTGGTCCTATACAACTACTGGTGATTCCTGTCCTGGAAGTGTGGGCAGAGCAAGTCACATTGGAGAGACTGCAAGCACTCAGGAGTTCCAGAGACCAGCAGTGATTGGCAGGGACCGGGGCAGAGACCAGCAGCAAAGGCAGACATCCCTGGTGACTGGTGAGAGAGCCAAGACTAATCCACTGATGCTGATGAGTGGTAACAGGTGGTGGCCCGCAGAGGATGCCAGAAAGGGAGCAGGAGCCCTTGGGGAGCTCCGGAAATGCCAAGAGGGCTCTGAGCCTGAGCTGCAGGGGAGCTGACGGGGCGCCTAGGAACTGCCTGGAGCTGTCTCGCTAAGGGGCAGGAGCCACAGGCACTCAAAACCTGGAGCCGCTAACAGCAAAGAAGCTGCACTTTGTCCATTTGTGATTTCCATCTTAACTGGGCAGAAAACCCCTCAGCTCACTGGTGACAACGGCACAGACGCTTTTGTTCTGGCTTCCTCCTGTCCACATCATGTGGGGAGATGGCCTCTGTGGGTGGTGTAAAGCAAAGGACAAACTTCAATTTTTTCCATGTAGCTATTCAGTTGACCTAGAACACCCCTCCCGTCTTCCCTCCCTCCCTCCTGTCCTCCTTTCCTCCTTCCCTTCCTCCCTCCCTCGCTTTCCTCCCATTGCTTGGGATTGCACACAGGACCTCATGCATGCCGGGCAAATGCTCTGCCCCTGAGCTGTATCCTCAGCCCCTCTTTGCTTTCGGGATGCCGAGGCTAAGCCAGGGCCTCGCACATACCAGGCGAGTCTTCTACCAGTGAGCAATACATCCAGCCCTACCCAGCGCCTTTTATGAAGCCTATTGAATTGTTGAAAGAAATACTGTTCATTCTATTTTGAGTTTTAAAAGTCTGGAGGGTTGGTACAGCCGTAGAGCTGAAGTGTAACATGCCCACCTGATAACCCAGCCGCTCTGTTCCCATCCATATCCTGAGCCGGTAGGCACGTGCAGCCGTTTTGGTGGGTGTTTGAGGCCAAACTATTTGCGTAATGTCCCCAGGAAGTTATTTTTCTTGCTGCCCTGGAGTGGAGTTTCCCGGAGGTGATCAGACATTTCCTATACAACAGTTTGGTTGCAAAGGGAGATGGAGAACCATCTTTCATTACTTCAGACATGAAAGGAATTTGCAAAAAATGTAAATCAATTCTTCTTGTTGCGAACTTTTTTTCTTTTAGAAAACACTGATTTTTTTTTTCAGAGAAGCATGTTATTTGTGTCAGCATGCAACAGACCTGTTGTTTGAAAAAGTTTATAATGTAAAAGTCTACAGTTTCTGTTTGCATTTCCAACATATTAAATAAGAACGCACAGCCCACACACAGAAGAGCTCTTCTGGCCTCAGATTTCAAGACGTTGTGAGCCACTGCCCCAGTGAAACTCCCCAGGTGACACAGAATGTTCACTTGGGACAGGAGCGGAAACCACAGGCCGCGGGAGTCTCCGTGCCTGTCATCGAGAGCGGAGGTCGACACGTCGTGGTCGTTTCTACAAGAGATTCCACACGAAAGGGAGCGCACGTGCACGGGCTGGTGCACACCGTTCTGGCGGTGACACGGGCTATGGCCAAAGCATTTATGTCACGAGGCCGTTTGCATAATTGTAAGAAGCATGGTGAACATCACTCTGTTTACTGTGGGTACTGGTGGGGAAAACAAAACCAAATGAAGTGGCCCAGAGGGACGAACAGGTCCAGGGGCGCTGGGGAGCCCTTTTTCAGTCAGATCACCACATGCAGGGCCCCTGTGGGAGCCGCTTGGCTGGGCAGAAGGCCCATGTTCCCCGCCCCAGGTGTCAGGCGGAGGCTGCTTTCCGTGGGTGCACTGCTGGATGTGTCAGCTGAAAATAAACAGCTGCTGGTGCTCCTAACTAATAGGATTTGAGAGAAAGAGCAGAACCCCTGTGCAGCTGCACAGAAGGAGCTAGAGGAAGCCAGGAAGGTCACAGCTATGAACCTCTACCTGAAACTGCAGCTGCCCCAGCCCTGCTTGACTCAGACTGCCAGGGTCCACAGCTCTCCTTACTTCTCTAAGATCTGCTGACGTCAGCTGATCCGAAGGTGAGCTCCGGGATCCGAGACCCCCACCCTCTGTGGCTGCAGTTCCCCATGCCACGGCTCCAGACAGGTGTGCCGTTTGGGGTCCAAGTTTGGGCAGTGAGTGCAGGTCCCATGGGCTCCACTTGGTCCCCTTTACAGCTCAGAGAATGCAGGTGGGATCCTGAGAGTTACCGCGTATGTATGTCAAAGATGCATTCCGGAACCGGGAAAAAATGACAGGGTTTGTTCAGGGATCTTCTGAGCCTATTGTGAGATGAACCTGGGCTAAAACATCAGTGCACACAAGATGCCACTGGGAAAAAAATCCTTCTGAACGTAAAAGAACATATTCAAGATACTTGGGAAAACGGCCCGCAGGTCCCATGGATCCCAAGTCTCACTCTCTGAGGGTAAAGGGTAAAGGGCCTCCTTCCAAATGCTGCAGGGGTTGCGTGGTAGGAAAGGGGACTCCTCAGGGGACAGTAACCCTGCGGCAGCACAGGATAACAGAATGAGGAAACGCTTGATTGGGTGGCTCCTGTCGCAATGTGACATGTTTAGCTGCCTGTTGCAAGGAATCGCAGCTCATTTATATTTGCCCTAGGCCAGGTGGTCAGAAAAAGATTTATCTTTTTAAAAAATGAGCAAGTGCTTTGGGATTAAAGTGGCCAGATTTAGCCCTGAAAAATACAGGATGCCCAGTTAAGTTTGAATTCTAAATAAACAATACATGCTCCAATTGTCATTTATGGGACACCCTTGACCTCCAAAGTAATTTGCTACTTAGCAGAAGTTGGAATCTATCTGTGAATCCTGTGGTTTTTTGGAATTCGAAATCACGTTGTTCCCCACTCACTGCAGAAGGGCCGTTCCCACTTTAAATTTGTTACATATGTGATACACAGAACTGAGACTGGTAGGGGAGGGCCCGGGAGATTTTGATCTTTCTCCTGAATGTTCCCAACAAGAATTCCCTTGATCTAATAGGATTGTTTTCCTCCCACTGGAAGATGACCTACAGGCAAAACACAAGCACAGCAGCTTCCCTGGTTATCTTTTCTTTTGCTTTTTGCTTTCGGTTAGTTTTCTCAGCAGTATCTGAGGAAAGTGGGCAAGCTTGTTATTTTTATCTTTAGGGAACGGTCTGCCGCCTTGCTCTGACGGGGGAGGAAGGCTTTGTTAGATTATTAATGTTCCAAATGTACTCTGTACGTGTCTAGGTGACACGGACCCGCCCTCCCCTAAGCTCTTGACTTTTTCGACCCCAATGGAACTCACTGTCCTAGTTCTGGGAGCTTTACTGTCTCCATACTTGGGTTTTTCATGCTGAAAATTCTGACAAGATTGTTCTCTGAGCTCACGCTCACTTCCTCTGAGATTTCAGTCCTACCCATCCTGGTACGGTGATGGTGAATCTTTTAGAGGCCAAGTGCCCAAACTGAAGCCCAGGGCCCGCTTGTTTTTGCAAAGTGCTGTCACTGCAACTGAACCTGAGTGCCCAGCTGCTGGGGTGATGCTGGGGCATCTTGGTTTGAATGCCAGCAGAAGGCTTTGTGTGCCCACTGCAGCACATGGGGCAGAGGTTCGCCACCACTGTCCTAGGCGAAGTGGAGGGACAGCCCGGACAGCCTCTGTAATCTCTGCTTCCTCCCCATGTCCTTGCCCTCATACTCTCCTAACCTCCTTCCCTACCTGCTGGGACAGTTTCTCCCTGGGCTCTCTGCTGATCCTTATGATATCTTTATTTGTCATTTAGTGGCATTTGGGATGAGACTGTGGTCCCTACCGCCTCTCCCTGGCAGTGTCCTTCTCCCCAGCCAGAGCGGAGGTATGAGAGGGGGTCTCTGGGCATCCTGAGTGCCAGGTGCTTGGGATGTAGCAGACACCCAGGCTCAGAGACAGCTCGTGTCTTGTAATGTGTGCTTGGAGGTCTCAGGGTTTTTAAAAATGGCTTCATTGGAGTACATTTGGGATTTCAGGGCTACATTTAATAAGTTTCTGATTTATGTTCAGGCCAGTGAAACCCCCACCACCGGTCCATGATGGAGACCACTGTGAAGTGGCTCTGAGCAGGATTTAAATTAACCAATTGGCTTTCCATGTTTCCTTGTGAGTCTGTCCCAGGCCTAGGCCCCTTGTCTGGAGACGGGCAACAGACTCACAGTAAGTGAACTATGAATCACTGGTTCTGACTGAGGCCTGTAATGGCCTGTGATGCTGGGACGCCTCAAAGGGCAAGACAAGGCCACAGCTGATGATACCTGGCTCCAACCTCAGTTAACCAGATACAGACTGTAGCTGCAGGCAGCTCACTCCTGGGTGAAGGCCTTCCTGGAGATAACATAGTTCTCCTAAATTAACATAGTGTATTACTTGGAGAAGTCCTTGAAGGTACTCCCAAGGCCCTGCTAAGATTCCCAGGTTTTCTGCAGTATCCCCCTCCTTTGTTTGAAAACCAAATAAATATGGGCTACCAAGAGAAGTTCTTTGTCTTAAGCCCTAGAGAATCTCAAGTTCTGTTAGAGGATTTTGAACCTCCTACAGCCCTAAAATTTAGGGCCAAAATTAACTACTACTTGTCTCTTTTATGTAAGCCATCACTGTACACTTGTACACTTGTTTGGGAGACTGCCGAATAACTAAGTGATAATATTAATGCACCAGTGCCAGGTAGCAAACATACCCACCACAAACCTACATTTGCACGTACCCCATTATAATCTAACACTTTCCTCTCCCCACCGCAATGCCCTCAGCAAACATTGATTTAGGGGTCATTATGGATTAGTTTGCATTTTCTAAATAATCATAAGATAAGTAGTACTTTATTTTATTTTGAGGCAGGGCTTTGCTATGTAGCTCAGGCTGACCTCAAACTCAAGCAATCCTCTTGCTGTGATTACAGGTGTGCACCCACCTGCCTACATACCCTTTTAAATGAAATCTAGCTTCCTTCACTTAGACGTCTGAGATTTCATGCATGTGGTTGCATGAATCAGGATCCTATTCCTCTTTGGCTGATACACAGGATTCTGCTATGTAGTTACACCACTATTTGTCACCCTTTGAGGGCCAGTGAGATGTTTTCCATTGGGGGCTACAGATACCCAGTTGTCATAGACAGCCACATAGAAATCTGTGTGCAGAACTATGCTTTCATTTTCCTTGGGTAAACATTTAGGAGTGGAGTGGATATAAGCTTAGTATTTTAAGCAACTGCCTGTAATGGTTGATATATTGTGTTAACTTGAGAAGTCTAGAAGCTTAACTAAGTAACTCAGCAGTTCTACATCCTGGGGTGTAGAGGACATGCCCTCACCACTCTCCCATGTTGTTCATTGTATCAGCTTAAGACGTTTAAAAGCTCAACTAAGTGACTCAGCAGGGGGCCAGGGCCCCTCCTTTGTGAACATCCTGAGCCTGTGCAAGAGGAGGGCAAGGAGCTGGTGTGAGTGCTGCACCCGCCCTAGGGGTGGCAGCCTGCTTACAATATAAAGGAGGAAAAGAAGCTTGCTCTCCCTGCTGTTTTGCTCTTGCTGCCTCTGCTGTCTTCTGCTGTCTTGAGCTGTTGCTCCTGTGCCCCACCACCCGGCCTTGGAGCCCACTGATTACTGACTTACACCTCCACAAACTGTGAACTAAATAGACATTTCCTGCCTTAATTTTGGGTGTCGGGTATTCCGTCTCAGTAACGAGAGAAAAGTAACTAAGACGCTGCGGGACTTTTCCAATTGCATCATTTCCCACCCCAGCAGCAGCGTATGAGAGTTCTCATTTTCCACATCCTTTTGGAGCAAAGATTTTTCCCTCCCTCCTTCCCTCTCTCTCTCCCTGCCTCCCTCCTTCCATTTTTCTAAGGTGGTGGCCCGCATTCACCTTTGGAATGGGGGGCAGCGTCCGAGTGTCTCCCAAGCCTTTACAACCATTGCCTGAGCTCACTGTGGGGTATCCGGGCTCAGCCTGCGCCCTGTCATAGCCCTGAACGAGCAGACACGGCCACGCAGCCTCAGTGAGTGACCAGTGCCCTCGGCGGGCTCTGTGACACTGCAACCCCGGCGTGAGTAGTTCCAGCCTCCTCCCTAACTTCCCTCCAGCTGGAGCTGCTTCCTTCTGTGCCTCCCTCCACCAGATTCCCCTCACATGCACCCCCCCTCGGGTCCCACCAATCTGTGCTTCAGTGCAGGGCCTGTGACGGGTGCTGACCTTTGAGATTCACTGGCATGGAATAGAGCCTGGAGCCGCTTGTTTCTCAAGCTTGTGCCTTGAGGGTCTCAGCCAGGCTCCTCGCAGGGTTTCTGACCACTTCATCTAACACACGGGCACTTCAGTGACAGAGCGGTGTGTGGAGAATTCTAATGTTTGGAAAGCAAGATTTTCTTCACCTTATTACATCAATTTAAAGCAAATTTCTACCCCAGACTCCAGGTCTGTAGGACGCAGCCATGAGTCCCCCTGCTCGTGGCCTTGAGCCCTCAAAGGTCCAGAGTAAGTTTCTTGAGGGACCACTGAATGAGGATCTGGCTGTGTCTGAATGTCACAGACAGGAAGTCACTTTAGGATCAAAGACGAGTCGCCCCTGCAGACCTTGGGGGCTCCGGGGAATGTGACCCTGGGTGAAGGGGTGGCCTCCTGCTGATGTGGTGGCTGAGCCCCCGTGGTCTGTAACTCAGCTGCGGAACGGAAGTGAGGCATTGGCTGTCTGGTAGCTACAGGCCAGTGTGGGCTGTGGTACGTTATATTTAAAAGGTCAAAGCATTCTCTTTGTTAGATGTTTCTAAACATAATTTTGCATTTACTGCTGGTAGATTTCCTATGATCCCATGGCCTTCGTGATAAAGTCAGAGAACACACAGAAATCTCGGGAGGCTCACAGCCTGCTGCATGTGTGGCCCTGGGTGTGGTGGGCAGCCAGGGAGCTTCCAGGACCTGCACAAAATCAGCTACCTCACCTTCGATCTCCACAGCCTCCCCCTAGCCAGTTCTTCATCACTGCAAGAAAATGAGCCTGAGAAAACTGCTTTTGTATCAATGGATTGCTTCTAATTTAGAACATGGCCAAATTTGTTTGCTTAAAGCACACGTTTATTTCATGTATTTTGTTGGACAGCTTTTGGAAGTTCAGCGTGCTTGGATAAAGCACAGGCTCTGCAGCAAATGATACCTGGTTCGAATCTTAATCCTGTCCCTTTTTTAGTTGAGCAACCTCAGACACAGTTCTGAGCTTGTTTTCTGCTCAGAGCAGTGCGAACACTCCCACCCATACCTTGGACCACTTTTTTTTTTTTTTTGGTTTTTCCCCAGTACCGGGAACCGAACTCACGACCTTGCACTTGCCAGGCAGGCGCTTTGCCGCTGAGCTAAATCCCCAGCCCCTAACCTTGGACCACTTGTGAGAGGGAAGGCACTCAGGTCTGTGGCGAGCCTGGCACACCTGTGCTCCTGTATCCTGTTGTACATACAAAGGTAATAAAAGGCCCACAAGCCACGCACAGAGACCAAAGTCAGTGTTTATTCGACCCGCCCTTAATGCGGGCGCTAGAGTTGAGTGGACCTGTCCTGGCTCTCTGTCACCGTGCCCCGCGTGGCTTCCCCGACACTGGGCTGGGGCGGGCTCTGGCCACACCGAAGGAACAGGTTGCAGAGGTGTCTCCGAAATGCCCGGTCAAGCCACACGTACAGAAGCAGGTTGACCCAGCAGTGGGCGGTGGCGATGGTCTTGGTGACCTGAATGCTCGCGTCCAGTTTGCTGCTGCTCTCGCAGCCGTGCAGGGAGAGGCACTCTCTGAAAGCGGACAGGAGAAGTGCGATGCCGTAGGGCGCCCACATCAAAAGGAAGACGACCACGACGCCACAGACGAGCCTGAACCTCTCTGACTGCTCCTCCCCGCTCCTCATTCGCAGGCAGCCGTACAGGAGAACAGACAGTGGGAACACAAGCACCAAGATGTTCATCTTTAGAGCCAGAATATGCTTCCAGGAAGTCTCCTCCACCGGCAGGAAGTGAGGGTTGCTAAAGGAGCACCTGGAATTCCGGTCTTCTGGCGCAAGTATATAGAACAGTAATTCAGGTAAAGAGACCAGAAAGGCCATCAGGCCTGTCAGCAGTGCGGCAATGACGCCGCTGGTCACTGTCCTGAGGGCCGAGGCCAGCCCTCTCACCTGGGATGCGTGCACAGTGAGGAGCACGTTGAACAGAGCTTCCCCGTGCAGTCCGAAGGCGTGGAGCAGGACGAGAACTCCACACTTGGGGTGGTCCAGGCCTCCCCCGTGCGTGGTCGCTGGAGCCCAGAATGGCAGGGGGAGCAGGAAGCACAGATTAGAAAGTGCCACGCCGAGGAAATAGATATTTTCCACATGCTTGAGTCCTTTATATTTGATCAGGATGAACAGAACCAAACTGTTGGAGAGGAGGCCGACCGTGAACAGGCTAGCACAGACCTGCCCCGCCTGCTGGGCCGACAGGACCCCGGAGGCGGACTTGTCGCATGGGTGTACCTCCTCGCCGCTCAGATCCCCGTCTATGAGGACGTCGTACTCGTCCTCAGGCACCGCTGTGTAATTAGCCATCTTCTGGCTGACCTGTGGAGAAACAACAGCTGCATCAGCCCAGAGGAAAGAGCAGAGACGCTTGGTCCGCAAAGCGCTGGACTGTTATTGTCACAGTGAAATCACCCTGATGCTTCCTTCCAGCCAGAGCCCTCCATATCTCTTAAGAGGAAATAAAACATTTCTTTAATACATGCCCTGGTCCCCAGAGCAGTGACTCAGATGTTAGGGGACGAGAATCATCTCTTACATTCTTTTTGGTAGAGAAACAAGACCTGCCTACCCGAAAACAGCCCTGAGCAACAAACAGTTAAAGAGAACAAAAGACCACAGCTTCATTGCGAGACACAGGTGCAGGTTTAACTTCTGCAAGTTCAGAAAGTTCGCTCACCCGTGAGAAGGCTTCCTCGGCAGGCTGAGACGGTTTCCTCTCGAAGGACATAAACAAATGTTTGCAAAAGTGAAACCATGCCGGGCACAGACAGGGACAGGGCAGGGGACACCCAGAGGGACTCACCTCTTGCCAGAGTTCCGGGGTGGGGAGAGGGTGTTGCCTCTCTGCTGCCCATGGGGAGGCTGTGGGAACACTTGGGGGGCTGCTTCCTTCTGCACAGACCCGTCCTGACCCGGGAGGCAAGGGAAGCCACGGCTCAGTCCCCCTCCAGCAACCCCGGCGCCTCTGCCCTCCAGCAGCAGATCCAATTGGTAGCTGGAAGAAAGTGACTTGAAAGGTCCGGGACCTTTGCAGCTTTCTCAGCCTCTGGGAGAAAGCGGGAAGTTGTTTTTCTTTTCCTCCCTGCACCCCGCCTTTGATTTCCCCATGACCTGCAGACAGCTGTCCCTCTGCCTGATAAGGGCTCTGAGCTACCCCCTGCTGGGACAGATAGGAGGGGTGTGACGTGGGGGCCTGAGACCACAGCCCCTCGGAGAGTAGGCGGCAGCTGCCAGAGGAGAAAAACGTCCACGGTCAGCACAAGTTCGTACCCCGGGGTCCTGACCCTCAGTGCAGTGTCACCCCCCCCAGGTCAGTGCAGGGAGACCCGCAAGGTGAAGGCTTGTGTTTGGGTTTCTGTTGTCATTTGTGAGCCGTGCGGGGTGGGCTGGCATAGCACAGGAAGTAGGGAGATGAAGCCACGGGGTCCGCCGGGAAGGAGGCTAGGACAGTGGGGACAGGAATGGGCTGCAGAAGGCTGCCCTGGGCGGCCACAGCTGGAAACACAGGGGTCCCTGCAAGCAGCCAAAGCTGCCGGAGGAAGAAAACCCGAGTGAGGACGGGAAGGTGACAGCAAGTCCGGCAGACAGGGTAGCCCCACACGGCCGGGGGGTGGGGAGAGGAAACGGAAAGGACCCTGAGAAAAGAGCCCTGCTGGGGCCAGGGAGGGCGGGGAGGAGGAGGCGCGGTTTGGAAGAGGATGAGAAGAGGAACTTGAAAGAACTTGAAAAAATGTGGATGAACTCAGGTCAAGGGCTCTTGGCAGCTGCCACCGACCTCCTCTGGGGACCCGTCCTACCTCTTGGCTGGGCGTGGGTATCTCTGGTTCTGGGATGTCCTCTGCTCGGCCAGAGCTGTGTCCGAGGTGGCAGTGCATCCAGGAAGAGTCCCTGTCCTCGCAGACGCAGACCACGAGAAACCATTAAGAGAGAAGGAAACTGGGAAGAGCCTGGACAGATGCGTGGTTGAGCAATAAACCCCACAGAGCCGGAGTGCTGAGAAAGAAGAGAAGGCGCCGGCTCGTGAGGGCTGGTGCTGGTGGGACTGGCCGCCGGCCTCTTCCCAGGAGGCGCTCACCTCTGCCCAAGTGGGGACCAGAGGGCAGCGCTGGTCACGGGGCCCTGGGAAGCCCTGTCACTGGTGGTGGTAACCCCCGGGGGCAGCAGCGTTTCCTCCTCCTGGGGTCTCTCCCTCCTGCCGCTGGGTAACTGGGATCACCCCAGGACACGGGAACCAAGTGGGTGGCTCATGCTCAGTCCAGGACAGGAAAGCAGTCACATCTGACTTGGCAATGAGAGCAAGCCCTGAAAATACTGTCTGCTTTTTAGCTGGGCACTTGGAGGGGAAAAAACAGCGGCAGGCATCACGCATGCTGTGTGTCACAGAGTCGCGCTGTGTTTGGGAAATTTTAAGTTTTCCCCAGGAAAGCCTTTTCCTGTAAACTCAGGATCACTCCTACTTCCTGATTAGCATAGCCTCCACTTTCAGTATTGTTATTCTGGCTCCATTCCCAGTACGCTGCCTACCCGCACCCACACTGTGGGATTCTGGAAACTTCTTCTACGCTGGTGGGAAGGGAAAGCTTAGGGCTCCAAAGCTGAGGCCGGAGGGAAAGTCCGTTTGCCATCCCAGTATCTGAACCCGGAGAGGGCTGTCCTGCTAGTCAGCTTTCCGTCACTGTGACAGGGTGCCTGCAGAAGGGGAGAGGGTGATTTTGGCTCATGGCTTCTGGGATGTCAGGTTGTGGTTCCAGGGCCACAACCCTGAGGCATGATGGCTCTCTTTGGGGACTTTGCAGTCTAAAAAGCTATCACTTTATACTCTTACTGCCCACTACACGTGGATCATCCATTCACTCAACAAACATTTGTAGAGGGCCTGGCATGTGCCCAGCCCAATGAACAAAATGGGCAAAAGTCCTGGCCTATGGGGAGCTCCCATTCAGCAGACAAGGATGAAATAAGCAAGTCAGTTGTAGGTTGGTAGGAAAGAAGGGCTCTGGGGAAGGCATGGGGGCGGGGGGACAGGAGTGAAAAGGGCCAGGTGGGGAGGGAGTCCGAGGAAGCCCTGTGGAGACGGTGAGGCTGCAGAGGCCATGGGTTCCGCCCAGCCGCTAATGCTCACGAAGCTCTTACGTCAGGGACTCAGTAGACGCTCACCAGTGGTGATTTCAGCAGTAAGTATAGAGAAGACACAGAACACTCTTCATGTTCTAGTGACCTTTGATTAAAAAAAGCAGAGGCCACGGCCTGGTTATCCATCACTTTCCGGGTTGAAGGGAGCCGCCTTGGTCTTCTGTGGCTCTTGGGCTGGACGCACACGTGGGTCCCCTTTGCCAGCTGGGGCAGCAGGTGTGGGAAGGGCACGGTGAGAGGCACAGCCTTCTCCTGCTGGCTCCAGGTTTTGGGGTTTTGTTTTTCCCCTTTGGGATGATTTGCCAGTTGTGTGTGGACAGCCGGTGGTGTGGGCCCTCTGGTGATGTTTGGGGGTGCCGCGGTTCATGACACGGACACAGTCCCTATCTCCCCGTCCACGTGTGGGAAGCGAGGTCCAGGGCGGTGGCACTGAGAAGCATCAGGACCTTGGAGAAGTGGCACCCAGTGGGAACTTGCTGGGGGCACTGCTCACGGGGGGGTGATGGTCTCAGGGGTCCCCAGTTAGTCCCTGGGAGAGTGAATTGCTACAGACAGCAAGGTTTCTGGCTTCGTGTCTCACCCTATGCTGCTCCCTCTCACCTCCTCCCACCATGACGCCATGGCTGAGCTGGCACTGTGCCCTTGAACCTCTAAAACTATGAGTTCATGAACTGTTCTTTATAAAGTATGCAGCCCCAAGTGTTGTGTCACAGAGACAGAAAGCACGTACACCACAGCACGTAGCTTCCTCTTGATTCTTGCTGTCACCCTGAGGGCACCCCTAGCAGAATCAGCTGTTGGCTGAGAACAGCCTCCGGGCAGAGCAGTGCTGGACAGAGCAGTCCCGGTTTCCGTTCTGCTCCTGCCGGCCAGCCCCCACCCGCAGCCCCTCAGCGCATGTCATGACTGCACGGGCCCTCATGGCCACTGTCGCCTCTCCCACCAGGTCTGGGTCCACCTCAGGAGGGAGGGCAGCTTCCAGGTGGGCTCCTTCCTGCGTGCTCAGCTGAGAGTCCTCGATGTTCGCTCCTTCTGCCCTTCCTGTCTTCTTTAGAGTTCTGTCTTTAGTAGTTCATCACCTTTGTTAGTAATTTTTAAATATCTAATGCCAGCTATTCAAATTACTAGTGCAGTTTCTGACTCTTGACTGAATGCTGATTGACATAGACAATACATTTAGTTCAGTGTCGGGATGGTGAATGCCATCTTTCAGAGATCTAACCTGATATTAAGAAATGGAGTGCTACTCTGCCATAAAGAAGGATGAACTTGAGTCCCTTTTAGAAACATGGAGGCACCTTTTTTAAAAAAAAATTGAGATAAGTTCTCACTATGTAGTGCAGGCTGGCCTTAAACTCGATTATGTATCCCAGGCTGACCTTCAACACATGGTGATCCTCCTGCCTCAGCCTCGCAAGTGCTGGGAGTACAGGCATGTGCCACCATGCCTCACTGCACCTTGAGACCATCATGTTAAATGAAATAAATGAAATACACAAATATCACATGGTTTCTCTTCTAAGAGAAACCCATGACATAAATAATTAAGGAGCAAAATAAAAGATAGACAATAGGCAATAGGGAAATCCCTCTTTTGCAAAAGGGAATGGGACCAAGAAATGGAGGGAGAAGAGCGGGAGGGGAGGGGGTGAAAAAGAATTGGGATGTTCCGTGCACACGCACCAGCTCCCCATGAGGGATATGATCGTATGCTGCTAATGTGCTAATAAGAAAGTTAAAGCTGAAAAAGAGAAGAGTATTAGACTGTTAAAAATTATGATCACAGGACCCTTCCCCACAATACCAGTTCTTTCAGATTATGGCTGTTATCTATCTATCTATCTATCTATCTATCTATCTATCTATCTATCTCTCTATCCATCATCTATCTATAATCTGTCAATCATCTAATCTATTATTAGCCATCTATCAAATCATCTATCTACCTATCCTGTCAATTTTTATTAGCAAATATGACAGTATAAGAAATTTGGGAATCTGTGATGCTGACATCCCCAAGTAACAGTTATTATAATTTAAAAATAACACTTTTGAATGAAAATATGCATAAACAACTTTTAGAAGACACTTCTGTGCGGATCGGCAGTTGGTTGTTGAATATTGGGTCTAAGGGGTAAATCCCCAGATGTTGCGACCTTGGGGATCTTGAGAATGTCCCACCCCACCCCAAGCTTTCTTGCACCCTGGCTTGTGCCTGAAATCCCACCCTCCTGCCTCAGCCACCGAGCAGCCAGGACTCCTGAGAGGGAGGTGATTTTTCCGAAACAAAAATCACCCACAATCGAAACAGAAAGCTCAGATTTTGGATGTACTTCTGGGAAGAGGGGCTGTTAACTGCCCCCTGAAGCAGCTCTTTCTGCAGTCCCCACTTCCTTCTGCCGTGTGCTGGAACATGTGGGACAGGAGGACACTTACTGAATATGTGTTATACTAACTGGGCTGAAAATGCAAAGTGAGCGTCTTACTGTGGGAATTTCTCAGTGCTCTTACCGTGCTAGCAGGCGTCACTGTCCTCCCCGACCAAGAGAGGGGTGCAGGTTTCCCAGGGAGGATCACAGAACCCCCTTCTTCCTTTGCTTTATTTATTTTCAGTTGACAAATGCTAATTGTGTATTGCTATTAGAGGAGCATTCAATCAAACGAACATACCCATCACTTCACCAGTTCATTATTTTTCTGGTGTGGGAGCACACTACAAGTCTCTTGTAGAACTATTTTTAGCTATGGTCACCATGCAGTGTACCAGACCACTAAAACTCACTTCTGCAGCCTGAGAGTTTTACCCTTGGATCTACATCTTCCCTTCCCCCATTCTCCCCTTGTTTAGCCTCTGGTAATCACCTTTCTACTCCGAAATTGACTCTGTAAGATGTCATATACTTGAGATCACACAGTATTTGTCTTTCTGTACTTGACTTTTTTCTTATGCTTATGACTTAGTATAACGTCTTCTTTTCCAGGAAGCATACTGTTCCATGGAGGATATATGCCACATATTCTTCTACTGATAGACACCCAGATTGCTTAACAGCTTGGCTATCATAAATAATGCAAAAATGAACACAGGAGTGCAGGTATCTCTTGGCTGTACTAATTTGAAGTGAGATTTCTGGCTTATAGGGTGATTGTAGCTTCAGTGTCTTGAGGAACCACCATACTATTTTCTAAAATGGTGGCAGAAATTAACGTGTGTGTGTGTGTATGTGTGTGTGTGTGGTGCTGGGGATTAACACGGGCCATCGGCATGCTAGGCAAGGACCTCACCACTCAGCTACGTCCCCAAACCACGGGTTTACATTCTTACCCACGGTCCACAGAGGTCCCTTTTCTCCACAGCTTTGACGATGCCTGTTATCATTTGTCTTTTCATGACAGCTGCCCTAACAGGTGTGAGTTGATCTCTCGCTGTAGTTTTACCTTGCAGTTCCTGTTTTTTTTTTTTTTTTCATATATCTATTGGTCTCATAGTACTAATTTGGAAGTGTTCCCTATTTTTCAATTTTTTTGGAAGCCTTTGAGGAGGATTGATCTTAGTTCTTCTATAAATGTTTGGCAGAATATGGCAGTGAGGCCATCAGGTCTGGGACTGTCTTTGATGATGGATAATTATTATTGTTTTGTTATTGTTCAACTCAGATTTTCTGCTTTTTTCTGATTCCATCTTGTGTGCTTCTAGGAATTTACCCATTCTTCGGGATTACACAATTTCTCGCCGTGTAGCTGCTCATAGTAACCTCTCGGATTTCTAAGGTACAGGTCCCAGTGCTTCCTCTTTCATTTCTAATTCTGTCTGAGTATTCTCTTTTTCTTTGTTAGTCTCACTAAAAGTTTGGCAATTTTATCTTTTCAGAAAACAACTTTTAGTTCTACTGACCTTTTTGATTGTCACTGGTCCCTATTTAAAAAATAATTCGCTTCAATCTTTGTTATTTTATTCCTTCTGCTAAGTTAGGACTTATTTTGTCTTTGGCTGGTTCCTTGAGGTGTAACGTCAGATCTCTCACTGGGGATTGTTCTTCTGTTGTGTAGGCGCTTATTGCCGTAGCCTTCCCTGTCGGGACTGCTTTGGCTGCCCCTGTAACTTCAGGTATTATTGGACTTCAGGTTTGTGTGAGGCTCAGGTCTCGGATTTGCATTTTCCCATCCTTGTACGACCTACACGCAGCTTCTTGGCTGTCTTCTGCTTGCGAGAGGGCTGCAGCCACATTTCCTAACTTCTGGCTGCATTCGGGGTCATGCTCAGCTCCTGTCTCATGGAGTCCAAGGATTAAACCTTCCTCTTCATATTCTTTGCACTTAGTGGCCTTTTTTTTTTTAAATGTGTGTGACCTACGATTTGTCAATATCAGGCAGTAACCAAAATGGTAAATAGTGACTGAGGCGTGTTTCAGTGAATTTTGTTTACAACTGTAGCTCACTTATTCACTTCACAGACCTTTTTGTTTTGCTTTTTGAGACAGAGTCACGTACATAGTTCAGGCTGGCCTTGAACTCACTCCTGCCTCAGCGTCCCAAGTGCTGGGATTACAGGCCTGCCCACCAGCCCCAGCTCTCAGCCCAGACCTTGCTAGCTCTGTCTTGAGGTGCTCTGGCTTTCCCTCCCGTGTCTGCTCCCCATCCGCCTCTCCCAAGGTTATGTCTCGGAGCTCCCTTGTTAGCTACAGACTCTTCACTCCTCCGAGTCTTGGTCGGTGTGGGGGCCATGAGGGGTTTTCGGAGGGAGGTTGGAGAATAGCTCAGGGGATCTGGCTCTGGCTCCTTCCGGCTGGGGCCTCGGTGGGCCACCCTGTCCCTTGACCCAGGGACAGACTGCGTCACACAGCATCCCCTTTGCCCCTTCCTGTGGGACTTGGGGCATGAAGGGGAAGCTGCTCTCACCGGCTCCGGGTACCCAACGTGCGATGGCTCCCTGCGCCTACATTTACATTTCTGTAAAATGCCCTCCAATTTCTTCTGCTGCCTCACTTGGGCATGCTGCTTGGTTCTGCCAGGAACTTTGCCAGACCTGGGGGAAATGGTGAGAGGAGCAGACCTAGCCGTCTCCCTCACTGACCCCCGAGAGGGACACGGCCAGGAAGAGGACGGATTATAATCCTGGGGTCCCATGCAGAGGGGCGTCTTCAATTCTGGGGAGTGGGCCAGGCCTGGGTAGCCCCACACCAGCCATCCCCCATGAATCTCTGCTCTGTCCCCAGGGGATGGTGGCCCCGATGGTGGTGGCTAGGAAGGTTCTGTCCAGGTGGAAAGTTCTAGGCTCCCTGCCAATTTTGCTGACCCCAAGTAACAAAAACTAGAAACTAAAATTTCCAAAGCTACAGTGTCGTAAGACCTTGCAACCCACACAGGGGCTCGCGCAGCCTGGAGGAGGAAGTCACAGCCCGGTGAGGCCACATTGCCCCTTGCTCAAGCTGACCACTCGCTGGTTACTCATCAGTGCTACCAGAGGGCGACAGAAGGGTCACAGAGGAGCTGGACAGCCCTTGCAGGCCAGCGGTCCCAATTTCCATAGGCCCCATAGGTTTCATAGGTTTCTATGGGGTTTCATAGGTTCAGGTTCAGGCACTGGTCCAAGATGATAACAGGTCATTCACGGATATTAGTAGATCATTAACGGATAAGAACTGTTTCTCTTATGAACAGAAGTAAAAAGTGATATGCGGAGTAGCATCCTCATTTGGAAATCTTCCCTTTAATAAAATTAAATTCTGACCCGCATTCATTGTACAGGGAAGTCTGGGGCTCCTCTTCACTTGGGGGTCTCTCTGGGGTCCTGCTGGGCCTCAGCCAGGGCAGCCCCTGACCCACAGCCTCTGAGGCCTTGACTTGAGCAGGCGCCTGTCTCTGCCCCGAGTTCAGGACTGCTATCTCCTGACGGTCTCGGAAGATCCCACGCACCCTCTGGAAAGGCTCTGAGAAGACGTTGCCATCCCAGGGATCCAAGACCCTCGAACCACAAGGCCAGCTCTATCCACTCCAGCAAGCCCAGAATTTGGGGACAAAAGCTGTGCTTTTCTGGAGGATCAGGAAACATTACCACGAGCTCCAGGGCTGCCTGGACCCCCTGACCTCGAGGTTCCGGTCTCATCCCTGGGTCCCTGGATGTCTCTTCCTCCCTCATCTCACTTCCGGTCTGGCCCTGTCACATGCTTTCTGCCCTCCCACACCCCTCTCCCCAGGACCACTAGGATGCCCTAACTTTCTAGCACATCTGCTTGACTTGGGGGCTCTTTTGCTCCCTGGACATCTCAGAGGAACTAGCAGGGAAAAGTAGGACTTTAGAGGTTAGATTTTACTCTTAGGAGACAAGTGGCTTCTCCAGACTTCTGCAGCCTTGGGCATTAGCCGCCACCCCACCTCTCCTCAGCCCAGGGAAAGGGACAGCATATACAGATGCTGGTGTAGGGAGAACAAGTCCAGCTTTATTTCCACAAGGAAGGGAGGAAGAGGTCCAAATAAGCCTGAGCTGGACATGGTGGCACATGCCTATAATCTGAGTCATGGAGAGGCTGAGACAGGAGGGTTGCTGTGAGTTGGAGGTCAGCTCTATCTCAAAAAATCAAACCAAACAAAATAAGCCTGGACAGGTCTGTGTCACTGTGTCCCTCCCTGCACTGTGCCTTGCTGTCAACAGCACACCTGTACTCAGGAAGACAGCGATTTGGGAGACGAGGCCCCTCCATTTCCTCAGGGCTAACTTTGAGTGAATCCTTTTTCCCTTTTTACCAAGATAACTGGCCCCCTTTGATCTGATCAGCAGTGAGCAAAGGAACCTGAGCATAAGGACCTGAGTGGCCCTCACCATTGGGGCCCTAAGCCACCCAATCTACCCTGTGGTGTCCACTGCCCAGGACCCTGGGTCTAGATGTCTACACAGGGCTCTGCTGAATTCAACACCACCACTTCTAGTTCCCACTGACGGAACTTAGTGTCCTCGAGGATTTGGGGATTATCCATCCTCCCATGCAATAAAGTCAGTGCTCCCATTTCCACGGCCCCCGCCTCTCCCTAAGGGCAAGTCTTGATGGCCGCCTGGGCTCCCCCATGGTCATCGGGCCTCCTCTTCCTCACCTCCCTCTGCCACCCTCCAGCCTTCACTGCAGCCCCAACCTGAGGCCCCACACTGGCCTGGCTCCCGGCTTGCTGCCCCCTGGACCCCTCAGGGGGGTTTGAGGTCTGCCTATCTCTCCTCTCGCCAGACCTGTCCCGCTGTCCTGTCCACTCCCCCGTCCTTAGTCCCTGAAGTCCCTCTCCATGGCCTCTGTGTCTTCTCCACAGTTTCCGCTGAAATTCCTGCACTGGCCTGAGTATGGACGCACTTTTCCGCGTCGTTGCTCCCGTGTGAGAAGAGATGGGAAGAACACCTGACAACGAAGATGAGAAGGTTTCGTTACGAATAAGACTGCTCACCTGCGCAGATCCTGTGAGTCAATGCCTCTGACAGTGTGGCGCTGGCTTGCAGGTCTACCGAGCTGCACCATGATCCAGGTCCCATGGCAGCTGTGGGCTGGGAGTCCTGAGTGCCAGGGGAAAAAAAGCGACACCCTCATGTGACTGCTGCTCCGTCTGCAGACTCTTAGATCAGCCCTGCAAAGTAGGAGCTTGTGGCAGCCCTCAGCCCAGCACGCCGGCCTCTTCGTAAGCATTGTTCTGCCAGTGAATAGACGTCAGTATGAATCCTCTGAGTTAGAGACACTTTCTGCTGTACTCTTTACTTACTCCTCGGTAGGGGTACCTGGAGGGAGGAGGAGAAAGACATTTTGATGCCTTGAAATGGGACAGCACTTGGAGAGAGCCACATGCTGCTCTTGGTGACAACACCAGGTCCCTTAGGAGAGCAATCGCTAACAGCACAGGCAAAGGGCTGCGCATTGTGCAGCTAATGGGCAGCAGAGGCCCTGGAGTCTGCGCTGGCTGAAACTCTCTTGGCCCAGGTGGTAATGATCTGCTCAGGGTCACCTGACCAGGAAGAGATGTGGGCTTGGCTGGCAGGTTCTGCAGACAACTGTCTGTTGTCTCATACCCACGCTCACACAGCACCCATCTGCCCACCTGTGTCTACCCACCATCCCCCATCTTTGCCGAGCACTTCCGGCCCCAGAGTTCACCCCGCCCTCATTTATCTCCGCACATGTGCAGAGCGGTTCCCACCAGAGCTTGGAAAGAGCTGCTACTCGACCTTCCTCAACCCCAGGCGCTTGCCGCATCCTTTCCTCTGGCCCTCGTCCTCGGGCTGGACCACTCTTCTTCCCCTGGGTCTCAGGCCTCCTCCCTGGACTGTCCAAAGTGCTCTCCAAATGCCGGTGGGACTTTGTACGTAAATATTAAGATTTTTATTTTTAAACTTCATTGCATTACATTCAGTGGTATTCATTTTCAAAAAAAGTGTTGTTTTGAGTCAAACCAAAGGGAGTAAGTTATCAGACATATCCACTTTTCAGTAAAATGTAAGAGCAGTTTGTCTTGTGTGTATGTACGCGTATTTAGACAACATGCCAGGCCTGCCAGGAGTTACTGTTTTAATGCTGATGTGGAATTCTCTGCAGAATTACCATTGCTTTGACCAGTGCTGGCATGAGCTGGCCTGGCTCAGGGTTCTTTGGGAACAGTGTTTTGCTAGAGGGGAGTTATTGGGGTCGGCTCACAGGAGAGAAAGGAAACTGCTGGGAGGTGAACTCTTCAGCCACACTAAGCCCAATCTAGGGTCATGTGTAGAATAGCTCAAGTGGCCCTCTTTCTACATAGGCGTCTTGTTTGCTCTTGAATTTGAAGCTGGCTCGCTCAGCAGGGTCTCAGACCTCTCTCTTTGACTTTCTTTCCACTTGGAAAAGATGGGCTGAAAGGCAATCCAAAACCTGGCAGGAAACTAAGGACTTGGAGCCTCTAATGTAGATATTTCAGGGAGCCACAAAGTCCAGGTTCGCATGCTTTAAACACAGGTGTGTGAGAAGACGCTGAGTGCAGACCCTCCCCACCACACGCCAGCTATTTCCCACCCAGGCGTGGTTTGGCCCAGACCCCAGCCTGCGCTTTGCTTGGTGTTAGTGGTGCTTCTCAAACTTAGCCAGGCACTGAGCCACCTGGAAAGTGTTTAGCAGTCAAAACCACAGGCAGTGCTGTAGACCCATAACTCAGACTTGCTCGGGGTGGACCCTGGGGTCACCAATTGTAAAACTCCCCAAGTGATGCCAAAACACAGCCAAGATGAAGCCAGGGCCAGCGCAGGGCCACCACGATGTTCGCCAACTCCCCGAACTTATCCAGGTTGATGGTGAGGGGAGTCAGATCTCCTCCAGCAACCCCCTCCTCAGCAACAGCCCGGGTACCACTGGGAAACACCCACAACACCCCCAAGACATGCTGATGCCCGGGCCACCCCAGACCTGCACGTCAGAGCCTCTGTGGTCTGAGCTGACTGGTCCTCAGCCACAGTTCCATATTCAACATGGACAGTGCCATGAGAGGGCTGCATAAAACGAGCCAATAGGGGAGATGCAGGAAGGAGTGTAAAGGATAAAGAACCCACCCACTTGCTCATCAGACTGGGCGTTTCGAGGGCTTGGCTGTCCAGGATCATGGAGTGAAACGTAGGCGCTGAGGGCATTTTAAGCACTATGAAGAATATTGAGTCACAAACATTGCCTGACCTTGTTGCAAGGTTGAGTTCAGTGCTCTGCAGAGCCTGAACAGCTGGAACCTTCATTTCTTGTCAGACACCAGCCTGTGTTCCCTTATTCTGCAGAAACCATCAGGGCTGGGGGGTTATGGGAGCTCATCTGCTCCAGCTAAGCATGCAGCAGCTGACCAGAAAGTGATCATCCTGTGCTGGTGATTATCCCTGGTCAAAGCTGATTTGCTGATGTGGCCTCCAGGGGTCAGCATAGGCCAATGTTCTCCAGGGCATCGAAGGCCTTTCCCTCAGTTTGAAAGAGACTCATCCCCTTAAGACACTGTTCCTGAAACAGGTTAGCATCACAATGGCACAGGCCTTACAATCAGACTGAGTAGCGACGATATGCAACCCAATGTAAGGAAGCCAGAAAAATGCTTATAGAAAATGATGAAAGAAATATCTCATCCAAGATATTGAAGTGTGACTATCTTTGGGGAAAATTCAGGCAAGACTTTCATGGTGAATTTTACTTCAAGGTAGAGGAACATCGGAAATGCTCTGATGTCCTGGCTCTCTGTTCTTCCCCATCCTCCAGGCCATGGAAGGGCCCTGTGAATTCTTATGGCTAGTGAGGGGTACAGGAACCAACTAGGAGGTGACCTATCTAACCTCCAGGGATCTGGTGATGAATTGGATCATGTTTGGGGGTCTGTTTCTCCCTCTGATGGAAAATAAATGGCTTGTGAACTTGATCTTCACAGTGAAAAAACCAGTGCATTTTAATTTAGTTAGAACTGTTGAAACTGAGAACCTTTGGGACACAAACATCCACAGAATCTCAATTTAAACATCACCTCTCCTTGCTGAGGATAGTTACTCCGACCTTGGTTTGTCCATGGCATGTCTGTAACCTTCCTTGCTAGGGCCCCCGGGCTGAGACCAAGGTCCCTTCACCCTGAGGTGGGGAGCAGGGTCAGATCCTGGGGGTGATGGTGTGTTCCAACTCCGAGGTGAAGGAATGGGCAGAGGATGCTCTTGGGGCTGGCTGTGGAAAGGCTCCTGACATCTCAGATATCTTTGCTTCGCCTTAATGTTGGGTACATTAAGTACAAAGGCTGATCAAAAATACGTTCACTATTTAAGAATACATCCTACAGTCAAAGACACTTGGCCACGAATCTCCCTCAAAATCCTTCCCCTCACTTTGAACACACTCGTCCCATCATTCTTACCACTCTCTGAAGCAGTTCTGGAAGCCCTCTTTGATGAATGTCTTTTCAAGCTGCAATCAAAACTATGGTAAATGCCACAGCCAAGTGCCATCCAATGGAAAGTCAGAATTGCAAAAACAAAATGCTGTGTTCTCATCACCTTGTTTATTGGATACAGCATATGTGAGTTCTGTCTCTTCCCCAAAGTCAAAATGACCATGAAAGGGAAATATTTTGAATGGATTCAGGACAACAAGGGAGCCATGACAGCACAACTAAAGACACTCAGGAAAGAGGACTCCAGAGCTTCTGCAGAACATGGTAAGAACAATGGGATAAGTGTGTATGAGGGGGAGTACCATGTTTTGAGGGCGGTTAATGGCATTGTGTCTTTTAATGTGATAAATTAAAAACTATTTAAACATTCACAGTATGTTTGGATCACACCAAGTAAAATGGAAAGGGCAGAAGGCGTGCATGGAAATGGGCCCCATCCTACCTCCTCCTTGAGGCAGCAGCTTTCACCTCGGAGGTTAGGTCTGCTTTCACAGATGTTGCGTCCCCCTGCTGTAACCCCAGGTTCTCGCCCCCCTTGTCTCATCCCACTTTGTGACCTGCAACGCGGAAGGCTGTCCTTCGAGTGTGGGAGGGAGAAGCTGTCTCCAGCCAGTGCAGCCATCTCGGCTTCTGCCTGCCCGAGCGCAGTGTGCAGTAGCAGCATGGCTGACTCTGGCATCTGCTGCCCATGACCTGCTCTGGAAGCCGAGTCTGTGGCAGACTGGAACCCAGTATGTTCTTGGGGCAGTGGGGCCCAGAGTGGCCATCTCCACCTGGAGCACCTGTCCTCTCCTAGGATAAGTGACCCATGCCCAGAAATCCAAATGTACCTTTGTCTCTGATGCAATCAAAAATAAATATGGGGGAGGACCTGCAAGTGAAAGAAAATCAACCTCCACAGCAACCAACATCATGCCCGTGCATGAGCAACCTGCAACCCGGGCTGCAGAGGAGCACCAGGCACAAGGCTGCACATCGCCTTCATTTGCAAACAGACAACTGCACATAGCCTTGTCCACTCTCTTTTCAAAGACACACCCACCCTTTTGCTGCAGAAGTAACTTAAAAGCTTTCAGGTCCAGTGCTCAGAACCTCCATCTTCAAATGCAAATGACTGAGGCAATTTGTCTCAGGAAGAAAGATGATTTTTAAAAATGTTTACAACTTCCCTCTCTTTAAACTATGACTATATTTAACGAAGGCCAATTGAAGGGTGTTTCCCAAAACAAGCTACTTAGCAGATTGCTTGACCGCTGCATGTGTTGTCTCTAAATGTACACTTGGCTGAAAGACTAAGAATACAGTTATACTTAGAAGGTGGCTTTTATTCAATGTGTGGTTTTCCCAAGGAATTTGTAACTTTCTATACACATAAGATTATACAAGTACATATGGAGATGTCCGCTGGCCCTAGGAGTGACCCAGAGGTGGAGGTCACTATCCCTCTGCACCTCCATGACCTTCCACCTGTGCGCTTCCTGCTGACACCACACACGATGCTGTGCTCCAGTTTCAGGGCTTGAGAAGAGTTCACGATGTCTCTTACACTTCTGACACCTTTGACACCTTAACCCCAAGTGGGCCTCCCCTCTTGTGTTTTCTCACCTAGTCTTTCCTATCCTAGTCTTAGTTGCTCCCAAATTCAAAAACAACCTCAAATATGGTAAAAAGTCATCCATACAACAAGAGCAGCAGCAGCAGCAGCAGCAGCACCACCACCACCACCACCACCAACAACAATAACAACATATGCTCAACCTCCCTCTGAAAAGAATAAATCATTTAGTGCGTGGGAAGTTTCAGAAGGAACCTGGAGACGGCAACTACAGCCCCCATGCTCAGCCAGAAACAGGGAGCTGAGCAAATTTTGTGGCTTTGCAACTTGAGGCAACTGTTTTCCAAATGAGTGTGTCACTTCCCCCCTTTGCCTGTTGATAGATAAACCCAGAAAGCTGGTCCATCCTTCCCTCCTGACAGAGCCTCTGGCCCCAGGCTCCTCTTTCTGCTGTGGAGTTTTCAGCTCCAGGGTGTGCAGTTCTGGATTTGAAGCTCCTGAGCTCGTGGTGGTCTATGCAGTACCCCCAGGCTGCAGGCTCCTGTGTGCATAAATTCAGAGTATCAAAGCCTTCTGGGGATGAGCATCGGATGAGATGGAGTGTGGAATGACAGGGATGCTCAGTGAGAGGGTCCCAAGTCCTTCTGTGTCCCCTGCATCCAGGCTTGTCCCCTTATATCAAGCCTTCGTTTCTTGCTCTAAACCTCCACCTCCTTTCATGTTCCACAACTCTTTCAGGTCTTCTTCCATCTGCTTGAAGCCTAGGGGCCTCCCTAGCTCACCTCCAACCAAATTCAGCCGAAGTTGTACTGACTCCACATCCTGCATGCAGGAGCAGGAGACCACCCTCACCCTGGCCTTATTGTGTCTGATCTCCTTGTCCCAAATGCTCACATGCCCCTGTCCCCCACTAGCTGTGAAATGAGCTTTTACCCAGGCCATGCTAGCCAGTGTGCTCCCTGCTCTGCTATGACTGCCAAGGCAATGCTGGCCTCCACCCCAGCCAACCTTGTCTTTCTTCCTTGGGGACAGCCCTCTGTCTTCTCATGACCATGCTTTGCCTGTGCTGCCTGCAGCCTGAAGCAGGGCTTCCCCTTCTCCACCAACAGGTGAACCAAATCCCCTCTCCCTGAGAGGTGTTCCCAGCCCTGCCAGGACACAGGACATCACTCGGCCCTGCAAGTCTGTGGAGCCTGCTGTCCGTACCTTGGAGGGAAGTCACAGCTGGAACTCGCTGCTTCTCAATGACTCACATCCTCTCTTCACTCCCAGGATGAGACAAAGACTTATACTAAACACACTTACAACATGTAGATTGCCTTGTACAAGAGAAGAACCTGTGAAGTATTTCTCACTGAACTTAGTTATTTCTGTTCAGATAATTGAACCCAAGAATTAGCAATTCTCTGAAGACATTTTGATAGTGAACTTTTGCACTGAAGGAAGAGCTCACCAGTGACTTGGTGTAAGCAGAGGGAAAACAAGGTCTCATTTTCACTGATAGATTTTGACACAGCTTTCTAGAGTTGATGGGCTTATAAACTCCCATAGACTCAAACAGATGGATGGACCTTCGTAACTTCCTGTTCCAAAAAGCCACCCCCACTCCCAGGTGTGCCTAGAAACCGAATCATGTCCCCACCTCAGACAAGCTCACAGGCCGGTGGAGACCTCCTGCTCCCCGGTGGACCGGGTGTACATGGAGCTGCTGCGCTCTGGGGCCTCTCGCTGGAAGATTGGGCAGCGTTTGCACAAGCACTTGGCCACGTGCTTTCGGAAGAACACTGAGAGGTACCCACGGAACTTCTCCCCGACGAAGGCATAGATGATAGGGTTCACGCAGCAGTGTGTCATTCCCAGAGTCTCTGTCACCTGCCCAGCCTGGTCCAGCTGGTTAGAGCTGCTGCAGTTGTTCAGGTCCACAGCCTTGGAGAAGGTGTGCAGGAGGATCACGATGTTGTGGGGTGCCCAGAAGAGGAAGTAGCCGATCATGATGGTAAAGATGAGCCTCACCGCCTTGTGCCTCTTCTTCTCGTTCCGCAACTTCAGCAGGGTTCGCAGGATGCCTGAGTAGCAGACGACCATGACGAGCAGGGGCAGCACCAGCCCCAAGAAGACCATCTTTAGTGTCTGGAAATTCTTCCAGAAATAATATTGGTGGTAGGGGAAATGAGGGGTGCAAGCATAACGGAAACCTTCTTTTTGAGATCTGATGAAAATGATTGCAGGGAGAGCAGCAAACAGAGCCACCACCCAGGTGGCCCCGCTGGTCACCACCCCGAAGCTGACTGTCCTGGCTTTCCGAGCAAACACGGCATGGACAATGGCCAGGTACCTATCGACGGTCAGGAGGATGATGAAGAAGACCCCTCCAAAATAGCCGGTCTGATAGAGCCCTGCTAACAATTTGCACATCGCATCTCCGAAGATCCAGTTGTGGGCAGCGGCATAGTGAGCCCAGAACGGGAGCGTGAGGAGGAGGAGCAGGTCGGAGATGGCCAGGTTGAGCAGGTAGATGTCGGTCATGCTCTTCAGCCGTTTGCAGGTGATCAGGATGAGGATGACCAGGATGTTGCCCACAGAACCAAAGATGAACACCAGCGCATAGAGTGAGGGTACAAGCTGGGCTGCTACTTTCTGCACGCTATCTTTGTGGCAGGGTTGTCCTGACTCATAATCAAAGTCAGTGACAGGACTGGAGGTTGGCTCATCCATCTTGTTCCACTCTGTGGATAAAGAAAAAGTGACATTTCATAGTGCTGGGCAAAGTATTTTACACCTTAGCAGGTCTTTAATTTGAAACGCAGATTTCTATACTTAATGGAGGTCCCTCTTTGGTCCCAGTAGTGAACTTTTACAGTGAAAGAAACGTTTTTCTGCCAGCTTCCCAGGTTCCCAGCTGGAGCTGAAATTGAGGAAGGCACCTCCAATCAGCGCTTGTTTTGTTGTAGCTATGAAGGTTGGATGAAGCTGCAATAACATTTTTGGGAAACTGAGGCAGACCCAGTGCCAAGCACAGCCTTTCAGTCCTCATCATAGCTGCTGTTGCTGAAGTTAGCCCACAAAGCGCAAGCTCCACAAATGATCCAGAAAGAACAAAAACAAGTCCAAGGCTCTGGGTGCCAACCACCTTTCCAAGCTTCCCGCCCATTTATCCATTTCACCCTCAAGGTGACTTCAATACCATTCACGTTTTCCAGACACAGACACCGGAGCACAAGGAAGATGAGAGAATGAATAGCCTGCCCAAAGCCATGCTTCAAGGAAGTAACTGATTTGGAAATCAAGCAGTCCACAGCCTTCCATGCTACCTGGGCTACCTGGTACTCCATAAGAGAACCAAAGAGCAGGACCATCATCCCAGTGCCTTGGTGCTCTCAGAAGGAAGTAGGTTCAGGCCCAGTCTCCTGGGAAGGTCGTAGCAGCCAACACCAACCGTCAAACCCAGACTGCCGCCCCACACTGTCTCTGAGGTTTGCGTTTGAGTTGCCATGGTTAAGAGCGAAACCCTCTTCCACTGCCACTGGCGAATGTCCTAAGTCCTGGGTGACGCAGTGTTCACATCCAGCCGGCTCAGCTCTTCCATTTAAGCCCCGCTGATCCCGCTGAGAGTTTTCTCTCCTAAATCCTTCCAAGTCTCCAGCCCACTGGAGCTCAGACTAGGCAGCTGGGAGAAGCACCCAGAAAAATCTGACCTTCACATTTTGAGGCAGAAAAGAAGAGAATCCTACATGAAAAATGCTGTAGAGCTGATATACTAGAGGCAGATATTACTTGATAGTTATAATTTGATGTTAATTTGGCTTCCCTCCTCCCTTGGGAAAACAAGACAGAGACACTGATTCTGGCAGAGACATAAGCAGAGGCGCCCCCAGTGAGGTTTCAGTTCTCCTTAGCTGGAGATGATTCTTACTGAGATTTCAGCCGAGGCTCCTCTGCCTGGAAATGTTCCTCTTGAGAGGTGAGGGGTGGTCTTCTTACAAAGCCGTATTGTCCCCTGTGAAGTCCAATGGGTTTTGTACCTTTGATGGTGTCAGACTCTGAAACTCCTTCTAAACCCTGATGCTTTTCCTTATCTTAAAGACTATATTTTAAGATAGCTCTATAAGCACTTGGTTTAGCCAGAGGTCTTCTCTGTGTTTCCTGAAAAAGCATCTACTTATCACAGAAACTGTCCTGACTAACAGGCCCGGAGGCTAGGAGGTGACTTACCAGGCAGAGTTTCTCGTTGCCTTGGGGGAGCAGATGTCTCAGCTCCTCTGCCTAGCTCAGCTGTATGATTCAAACACATACACAGCGTAAAGTAGGAAACACACAGTTTCTTTTGAAGTGGGGTGGAGTTTAATAAATAAGTGCACTGCAGGGGAAAAAAAGCAGAGAACAATTCTCCTTCTCCTCCTCCTCCTCCTCCTTCTCCTCCTCCTCCTCCTCTTCCTTCTCCTCCTCCTTCTTCTTCTTGTTTTTTTGAAGTTGCATTTAAAGTAAGCTAGAAGACAAAGCAGTAGCTTGAAAGTTTATTCTTGGGCTTCTCTTCTTAGATGATTTCACTTTTGTTTTCTGCTTATCCAACTACATAGCATGTGTGTTGGAAATAAAAAAGAACAAGAGGAAACTAGAGCTAGAAGAGCACTTGTGTCCATCTAGTCAAAAGGCCACTTTTGAATGAAAGACATTGCTGTCCAAGAGGCAAATGGTTTCTATAAGACCACAGGGCTTGTTGGCAGTGAGGCGAAGAGGGTGAGTCTGTTCTTGTACTTGTCCTTAACTAAAGCCAGCCTTCAATTCAGAAGGAGATCCTATTCTCAGCATCAAACTTGTGCCCTCTGTTGCCCAAACCCCACAACACTCACACACACATTTTTCTTTGTGACCTGAAACAACTTGTTGTGTACAAGATTCGACTGCTGGTTCATTGTGAACTCAACACACTTCCCATTTTTCTATGCATCAGACCTGGTGGGGCACGGCACTGTGTATTTCTGCTCTTGTCACTGTCTTGTGTCTCCCTCCAAGCCAGCCTGCTTTTATGAGCACTCAACTTCCCCAGACATAGGGGAGTGAGGGACAACATCCTTCATCTGAGGATATGATTTACCTGGAGCTATGGGAGACTTTCCACAGGAAGTAGGCAGCAGCTGACCGAGGGTTACGGTCAGGGGCAGGGTTGTGTGATGGTTTCGTACACTGTCAGGTCAAGCTGTTGTGGTGCTTGGTGATTTGCCCAAAAACCTCAGCTACTGACAGCAGAGCACGAGAGCCCCTGGGGTTCCACTGCCTCAGCTAAAGAATGAGAAACTTTGGTCCCTGACTGACAGGAAGGCAAAGGAGAGGCCAAATGGCAAAATTATATGTCCCCCGCCCATGGAGGTGGCCCAGCACCTGGACCATGCAGTGGCCTCCGTGGTGAGACCATCAAGCTCAAAGCCACCTCTACCTCAGCTTCCCGTCTGTGGGTTTGTTGGGAGGATCAGAGAGTAATAGGCTGTTACCACCCGTGACTCCATCTTGCTTTATTGCTGTTTCTATCCTCATGGTCAGGACGTGGCCTTTCCTCTGCACCCCGGAGCACTCGGCCCTCAGAATAGGCTGTCACTAGCCATCAACTCTGGGCAACAACTGACAGCAGAACTCACGCTCGGGGCAAGAGCTGATTTCTGTGTAGTGTTCCTACTGTGGTCCTTACACGAGTAACCCTCTACTTTCCAAGGCCTCGGGGCAAAGGAAGTGTGAGCACTGAAGCTCTGCCCCTTCTGGGTCGCTAGACCACTTGGTCTCTTGGGTGTTGGCTTCTAGGCGGCGACCAGCCAGGCCCGAGCTCAGAAACAACCAGAGGCCCCCACGGCGACCGCTCACAGTATACTCACAGTAGAAGCATGGTTCTCACTCAGGGACCCACTTGAGAGGAGTTTACTTCAGAAGCAAAATTTAAAACATTTTGTTTTCCTAACAAAATCGGTTCCCCAGGGTCTTTGTCTGGAGCAGATTCACTTCAGCGAACTGAAAAGGTGAACCCACTGGCTGTGCTTGGGGACCGGAGAAGAGTGGCTGCTCCAAAAGAACCGGAAGGGCAGGGAATCATCCAGCAGTGGAGGCGAATACATTGGTGTGAGAACAGAGGTCCGTGATTAGGTGGTGAATCAGTAGGAGAACAGCCCAGCTCTTCCCACAGGAGCAGTGCCCAAGGCCATGAGAAAAGTGTAGTCAAGCCACCGGTTTTATTACTTTACTTGACTTGTAACAAGGTGCTGAGTCTCTCCTCGCCTTATTTGGAAAATGGGGTTTAAGAAAACTCAAAAGCAAAGCCACCTTGGGGGTCTGTGGTCAGACTAATGCTCTAACAAGCATGGAGCCTTCCGGTCCTGGCCGTGGGGCAGTCCTTTCAACCGAGAAGGAGCACTGGTGCTTTAGGAAGCCTTCACAACCTGACCACACAGAAACCTCTGTAAAACTTGACAGAAAAAGACACAGCACAAGTTTAGTTCTTTCGAAGATCGTATCCTGTTCACAGATCACATCCGTGCGGGAACTCAGAGATGCTGCTGAGCATGCGCTAGAGTCCTGTTTGTGACCACGGTTGGTTCTTCCCATCACTGCAGATCTGGGCTTGTGTCTGTGACCCGTGTGTGACTACCCCCAGGGTGGCCAAGGGTGTGCGCGACACACGCTCACCCCCAGAGGGCAGTGTAGAGCAGTGCAGGGGGCTCTGAGTCGCTCTGCCTGAAGGTGTGACCTTGCCAAGACACTTGCCCTCCCTGAGCTTCCGAGGGAAGGGCCCAGGCTGCCAGGGGCTGGGGCAGCTTCCGTCTGAGGTGCTGCCTGACTGGATGTCGTTTGGGAAGTGTGCTCTGGGCAGGGTGCTCTGGGCAGGGCGTCACCTTCAGATTCCCATGGGGGACGGTCTCCTGGTCAGTCTGTTACTCCAGACTGATGGGTGTGTGCTTCATGCCACCCTCCTTTGGGGCACTGGCCGGTCTTCACTTGTCGCTGTGTCCACACGTTCTGAGGCCCATTTTGCTGTCCTTCCCCACGAGCACCATTGGAGCGAGCGCCTAGAGTGTCCTCAGGCTCTGGGGCCAGCGAACAAGCACATGAGCACCATGAGCCCCAACAGCTTTGGAAAATACCTGGGGCTTGAGTAGGCCTGGGTCAGTTCCTCTGCACACTGAGGAGGGCTGTAAATACTGCAATAGATCTTTTGTTTTTAAAAATGAATGTCTAATTATAAGACCAACATGTGCCCGTGATATGAAATGGGGAAGACAGGGAGAGGTGGATTTTCATAATCTCAAAGCACTGCTTTTCAACACACAAAATGCTTCAAGCCTGACTTTCCTGAGCACACTTTTGGGATAATTATTCTCTATATGCTGTTGCTTTTTAGTCTTTCCTTGCTTTGGATTGCAATGTAGGTGTTTCCTGGTGCTATTAAAATTCTTTACAAATGCAGTCCTTTCATCACTCCTTTCACTGAGGCCTCAGGGTAAGGGGAGCAGCTTGGTGAGTTTCAATCTGCGTGCACCGGTGGAAGCTCCGCCCACAGCGAGGGCATAAGGAACATCTTCCTTGCCCTGGAAGGCGCCCTCTGCCCGCCTGGAGGTCAGGGCCTCTCTGACTTCATACAGATTAAGTGCACCTGGTTTTAAACTTGCTATAAATGGAATCACAGCTGCTGAGCTGGCTTCTTTCCTTCAACATCACTCTCTCAACTGCGTTAACAGAGATCTGTCATGAGACAGCCAGGCTCTTTCTGTTGCACATGAACACAAACGGTGCTGTACTGATTGTCTCTGAGGTTACTCCGATGTCTTGTCAGTGTCCCCAAAGCCACCTTTGCCAGGAAGGCCAGAGAATTCCCATGACCCTCACAGAAATAGGACGAACACCCCAACTGCACCCAGTGTCACAGTTTGTCACCCGGGTCCCTCAGCAATGACACTTGGGTCCCCTCAGTACCAGCTGGAGCTTCACCTTCCGCCCGGGACATCTGCCAGGGCAGGTGCGGTTGTGTGGTCACCATGCTGTTTCTCCGCTCCTGCCTTTGTCCTCTAGACCCGTCCTCATCTCATGGTCTTCCCAGCCCCTGGGCCTCTTCCTTCCTGCGCAGAGCATCAAAGCAGGTAGGCACTTGCAGTCTGTCCGCTCCCTCACCTTGGTGGATCTGTCTGTCTGCACTGGGGAGACCTGAGCCAGCCCTGTGCCTTCAGGAGCTTTCTTTCAGATCAGTGCCCAGACCCAGGCTAATGCAAGCTGAGGAACGGTGACACAAGTCCAATGTCTCGACTCAGGTTCAGGACTCACTCTCTTCTCAGGCCTCCTCTTCTCACACGCAGCTCTGTGTTCAGCTCCATGCACACAGAAAGTTATGTACGACTATGGCCTAAGGCCCAGGGCAGGGAAGTAAGTGCCCCGAGCTTCCAGGAAAACCACCACCCCAGGGGCCAGAGACCTCTCCAGGGCCCACGAAGAGGTGACAAAACCAGCCTTGGGCCCCTCCTGCTGTGCGCATTCATCCCACTCATTAGGGGAGGGAAGGGATAAAGTGATGGGTGGGAGTGGAGAGGGGTTCCCCTGCTCGAAGCCAGGGCAAGGAATGAGGACTGGCCAAAGGGGTCTCCAGGAGGCAGCGGGCCAGGTGAGCCCAGTGCCCAGGCCTGGAGAGAGGCGTGGGTGGAGACATGCGTGGGTTGGTGAGACAGCTGGCGAGCCCCCAAAGATGCGCATGCCCTGGGATGGTGCCTGGGAATGGTAGACATCCAGCCAGACAGAGATCTTGCAGTCTAAGAAGCGTCCAAGAGGCCTGCCCACTCTGGGCTCTCCAGGGCATCTGGCCACCTGAAGCCGGTGATGGCTCAGGATTGGGTACAAAGGCAGCGTCCTTTTCCTAACCCTCTCTGTCTTCTTCACCCCAGCCCATGCCCAAGGGATGAGTGGGGCAAGAAAGATAGGACGTACCCTCCTTTTGGCACTACTGGAAGCTGGCTGGGCTCCAGGCCCAACTGAAACTGACTGGTGAGGTCACAGTTTAACAGGAATCCTCCAGGCAGGACCTTGTTTAGTACCTGAACTCTGGCTTGGGTGACACCTCTACACACACACACACACACACACACACACACACACACACATTCTTCCAAAAGTGCAAACACAGGGCCCAAGTGTCTGTGTCCGAAGAAATATCTCCAGACTCCTTCATCCCCCAAACCCAGGAACAGCCTCCTCCCTGCAGTCCCCGAGCTGCCTGGGAGCAGTCCCTCAGCAGCCAGGTTCCATCCTCTTGTGATGTCTTGGGTGGCCCTGGGTGGCCTCTCCTATCTGCCAAGTGCACCTGGAGCCATTGCAACTTGTCAGCTGTCAGGGAAGCTTAAACCATGAGCAAAAGCAAAAGAGGAAGGATGGATGTTGAGGCATTTCCTTGGCCACCTCGGGCTTCTCTACAAATGCCCAGCCCTCCTCAGAGGCTTTGGGCATTGCAGCCAGGGTGCTGACACCAGTGGACCACCTCAAGCCCCCTCTGCCACCAAACAGTCAGACACCTGTCCCTTGGGGTGCTGGTGTTCCCCCACCTCCTGTTTACTTACCTCAAACTGCTCCACCCAAGATTCTCCCCAGAAGCAGGGAGACCCCCAGGGTTCCCTTCTAGGAGTGGAGCCAGCAGCAACCTTCACAAAGCAGTTTCTCCAGGGGCCTCAAAGTCCTGCTGTGGCTATAATTGTTTTCTGGTGCAGGGCGATCACGAATGCAACCACTGTTCCTGCCTTCCTGAGTGCTGCACAGCGGCTATAAGTCTGTGCCCTGCCGTCCGTCAGCAGGTGGGGACGGGAGTGTAATGGGTAGGCACAGGCATTAGCAGCTACCTTTACTTCCTGACCCAGCGTGGCATGGGACAGAGCCCTGGGTGTTGTCATACGGACTCCACAATGGAGGCCAAGTGGCATGGCCCAATTTTACTTATAGAGCCAGCATACACCGTGTGTGTCAATCAGGCTTTGTGCTTCTTGAACAATCCCCCAAACTTGGGGACTCATGGTTGTGAGCAGGGACTTCCTGTTCCTGGGACCTGGGCTGGGCCCTTGCTTGGTTTCCCCTACCCCTTGTGTTCCGTGCTTCCCCAGGTGTGGGGCTGAGGGTGTGAGCAGGACCAACCCTTCGGTGGCTGAGAAGAGGCTCAGTATGGCCACACTCAGTCTCTCCTAGGATGAGGCTGATGTCGCCTGTGCTCCAATCCCTGTGGCCCAGCTGACCATGTACCAGGTTAGGGTTAGGCTCAGGGTTGGGGCCCCGTCGGGGCGGCCTGGCGAGCTGGCTGCAACTCACGCTTCAAAGTGAGTTGTGTGTCATGGCCCAGAGGAAGGTGCAAAATGCTGTGAACAGAACACAGCTGACCACACCACAGCAGAGGAGGTGATTGTCTTTTAATCTTTAAAAGGACGCAATTAGAGCATTCATTTATTTTCCAAAGCATCATTTAAAAAAAAAAAATATCTACATTTCACCATCAAAACACAATTGCATGCATTTGCTAGGTGACATTTTTCCCTGTCCCCATTTCTTCCTGAAAGCTTCTCCGACCAAGGGCAAAAAAGTCAAACCACAGAAACTTCCTGCTCCCATGAGGCCCCACTCTAGGTGCCCGCAGCTGCTGGTCTCCATCAGACTGGAAACGCACCAGGTAGCATGTGAGAACATCCCTAACCAGCGAGCTCCTCCAACTCTCTCCTTTACATGTTTCAAAGGGCTGATTGGGGCTGACTGGTTCAGGAGCTCCCACTGCCCATGAGCGGGGAGGACAACTAAAGCACAGAAACACTCTGATATGATTAAATCATGGCTCCTAATGACAGAGAAAAGATATTTGGGAACAAGTCCAAGAGGTTAAAAGCACCATGGAGATGGTGTCTGGGGTGTGTGTGCTGTGATCCCAATAATATTCCTGTTAGATGCTGTACAGATGCCTGGCCACTATGCCCACAGACCTCCGAGTTCCTGTCCATCCAGAGCCATTCCTGTCCCTTCTGGAGCATTCTGGAGCATTCTGGAGCATATAATGCACCCCACACTTTCCTGCTCAAACTCACAACTGTCTCTAGGGTACTATAGCACTTTCAGGTTTAGCATGATGGTAACTCTTAAAACAACACTTCCTCCTATTGGCTATTCACTGTTTGCAGCCTTAATTTTACCTTTCTTGTTTCTTTCTTCTTTTTTTTTTTTTAATGCCTGAGAATGCCTGGGAAACCTTTCTCCCCAGCATGTCTAGAATCTTGCTGGTCTAGGTTCGCCCAGCCTGGCAATGGAGGTGCCACGCTTTGCAGGTGAGATGTGTGACTTCCAAAGCAGTGGCCTCTGTCACTTGTGCCCTCAGGCTTCTGAGGACATACCCCAGGCCCGCAGGGATGGAGTGTCCCTTCCAGTGACCATGCAGGGGCTGAGGGAGGTGCAGTTTCCTTCACAGGTAAGCTACCTGGTTGTTATGGATGAACCATAATAAAGCAAAAATGTGCCATGTACTCACACATAAGAGACCATCAGATCCAACCAAAACTCCCCCAAAATGATTAAATTTGCAGTGGTTCCATGATTGGCAAAGACCTCCAAGTCAGGTAGAGGTGGGAGGTGGGGCCGAGGGCTGGGACCACTTCTTTGCTCACCACCATCTCCACTCAGGCCTGGCACTGTCCATCTCCCTCCTCCCCACATGCAGCCTGGACTCCGGGTCCCCTCATCTCTGTCCATCCCAGCCCTGTCCCATTCTGCACTCCCCTTTGGCTAATCAAAGATGGACAGAATCAGAGAACAAAGGGGGTGAAGTTTGGAAAAAGCATTAGCCCAAGGCAAGGAAGCATGGTATCTCAGAAACCAAGATGAGCTGGCTGGAGAGCCCAGGTCTCTACGATGGTTGTTCTGGAATATTCCCTTTCCATGAATGGAGACACAAGTCTATCTGGGCACAGTCCTGAGGCTCCTGGGCACCTCCATCCCATTTCCCTGGTCACCAATAAACCCTCGAGGGTTGTTCTCACGTACAGATGGCTGTCTCCTCCAGAGCATAGCAGGCCACCTGTGGCTCGAGTTAGAAGCCAGCTGAGACCTCCTGCTCCCCAGTGGATGGAGTGTAGGTAGAGCTCACGCGGTCTACTGTCTCCCGGTAGAAAACTGGGCACTGTCTGCAGAAGCGCTTGGCCACGTGCTTTCGGAAGAACACCGAGAGGTACCTGCGGAACTTCTCCCCCACGAAGGCGTAGATGACAGGGTTCACGCAGCAGTGTGTCATTGCCAGAGCCTCCGTCACCTGCATGGCCCGGTCTATCTGGCCTGTGTGGTTGCAGCTACTTAGCCCAAAGAACTTCTGAAAGGTGTCCAGGAGGATCACGATGTTGTAGGGAGTCCAGAAGAGGAAGTAGCCGATCATGATGGCGAAGATGAGTCTCACCGCCTTGTGCCTCTTCTTCTCATTCCGGCACCGCAGCAGGGTCTGCAGGATGCCCGAGTAGCAGATGATCATGACCAGCAGTGGCAACACCAGCCCCAAGAAGACCATCTTTAGTGTCTGGAAATTCTTCCATATGGTTGGAAAATGAGGGCCGCAGCTGTAAATGCCACTGGACTCTTCCAGTCGTGTGAAGATGATTCCAGGGAGAGAAGCAAACAGAGCCACCACCCAAGTGACCCCGCTGGTCACCATCCCGAAGCTGACTGTCCTGGCTTTCAGAGCAAACACGGCATGGACAATGGCCAGGTACCTATCGATGGTCAGGAGGATGATGAAGAAGACCTCTCCAAAATAGCCGATCTGATAGAGCCCTGCTAACAATTTGCACACCGCACCTCCAAAGATCCAGTTGTGGGCAGCAGCATAGTGAGCCCAGAACGGGAGCGTGAGGAGGAGGAGCAGGTCGGAGATGGCCAGGTTGAGCAGGTAGATGTCGGTCATGCTCTTCAGCCGTTTGCAGGTGATCAGGATGAGGATGACCAGGATGTTGCCCACAGAACCAAAGATGAACACCAGCGCATAGAGCGGGGGCAGGAGCTGGGATGCCATGTGCCACACGTCGGTTTTTCTGCAGGGTGATCCCATGTCATAGTCATAGATGGTAGTGGCTTCTTCCGTTCTTAGAAATGAGAAAGAAGGCATGTCGTCGATAAGCTGGGATAACGGGTCGTTGTCTTCCATTTCCATCTGTTCTGGAAATAGAGAATGGAATGATGGACACACAACCTAAATGCCTCACCTGAACCCCGACCTGAATCAGCTGCTCCACGCATTCAGCCTCGGCTCTCTCTCTATAGAGTCTCCCAAAATCATCACTTCCTGTCATTCCTCTGGGCAGGTACCAGTCGTCCACCCAACAGCCATTTAGTGGCCTGCCCTGTCTTCCCTAGGGAGCATGATTCTCATCACCAGGCTAACACGCCTGGGTATTTGTGTTCTTGGCTTTTTTTGTGGGCGGTGGACAGCTTGTCAGGGCCCCTGCACAAGCATGTGTGCTTTGTGTCTGCTAGGGGACTTCCAGGAAGGCTCTTCCCGCAGAAGCCCTGCCTGGCCCTCCTACTCTTGCAGCTTGGTTCACATGGGCTTGGTGCTTGGGAGCATGGACTAAAGATCCAGAGGACCCGACAGAAGCGCACACAGTCTCAGCAGTGCAGGCTCCCAAGCTCCCCCTTGGGCTGCCCATTGCCTGACTTATTAGTTGAGAAAACTGAGCCGTTGTGAATTGCATTTCCTGTTCCTTGCAGCCCCAGGCATTCTGAGAGCCCCCTCGGCTTTCCTCCTCCATCGTCTGGCCCAGACTGTGCTTGCCAAGGCTGCAGGCACTACGCGGGGTTCAAACACCTTTCTTCGCCTCTACGCAGCCCTCCCTGAGCAGTCACTCTTTTGCTAACTTCTTCCATTTAGAGCCCGTTGGTTTGTAGGAGGAAGTACCCATCCGACCACTTCTTATTAACGCCGTTCTTTGGCATCTCCTCCTCTGCCTGCGGCATAACAGTGCCCAGGCACCTCCCGTGGCTGTCACCTCTGTTATCTTTGCCTCTTTCTTCTCACTCCAGAACTCCTCCAGAGTCATGACAGCTCTCAGGGCCTGTCTCCCCTGCTCACTAGGGCTACCCGGAGCTCTGTCTTCAGGTTCCACCTTTCTCCTCACCTCAGAGTTGCACCTGTGTCTCTCCCTGTGGATTTATTCCTGATTCATTATCCATACTCTGTTCTAGGCCCTGAAGAGAGCAGTGAGCAAGGAGAGCGCCCTGCAGGGGCCCACTTGGACCCCTACCTGCCCCAACAAAGCACCCTCTTATCTTAGCTATTGCCGCTGAACTGCCCTTCCTGAGGAGCAAGCTCAGGCATTTCCCTGATCCCTTTCTCTTTAGGAAATGAGGGGCCAGAGCTGGGAGCGAGACTCGAGTCTGAATCCTGCCTCCACATCAAGCTGTGTAACCCAAGGCCAACGAACTCCTCTGACCTTCTGCTCCTTTCTGCATAAAACAGCTCTGCTGAGTTACTGCCAAGACCAACCAGGAGAAGGCTCAGTCTGGCACCTGGGGCAGGAGGCTGCTCCGTACAGTTATTCTGTCACACGAGTCCCACCCCGTAAACACCCCTCCACTTTGTCCCTCCGCACTCATCAGCTGCCGGCACCTCCTCATCAGCCTGAAGCCTCCCTCAGCCCCCGTGGCTTGTGTGTGTGGCAGGATCCCAGAGACAATGACCAGCTGCTCAACAATGACCACTGTGGTGTTTCTCGGCTCACCTGTCAGTGTCATCTCTAATCACTTCTCAGAACCCCAATCCTGTGCTTCACCTGCAGCCACCTGCTCTCCTTTCCCCATTCCACCATTCATGCTTTGGTGGTTTGCATGCACTTGTCTCTCTGCCTAAAATGGCCAGTGAGCTCCTATTCATCCTTCAACACCTCCTGCTCGGATTTCCCTTCTCAGAGAAGTGACAACTAATCTGAATTCTCTGTCAAATCGCTCTTATCTCCTAACCTCTCCTGCCTCTCTTGTTATCTTTACACACTGTGGCCCCTCTAGGTCAAGGTCTGGGTCGTATTTCGCACCAGCTCTTATGATTTCACAGAGCTAAAAAATGCTCACCAAATGAGTGTGCAACTCTTTATAATAACAATCATGCAGCACCTAACATCAATAGGGCTTGGCTGTTATCTTAACAACATATCCCCCCACCCCGGCAGTGACTATGCACTTGTTTTTATTGGTCATGCAGGTTTATCCTTCCATCTCTCTGTTGATCAACACATTTCACAGGTCTTGCACCTCACCGGGCTCGACTGATGCAAAGCAGAAACTAAATACAGCCTCGGAAGGAGAAAACTGCAGCCGCCCACAGCCTGCCAACTGTGAGCATTCCTTGAGAGCCGCTGGAGCTCCAGGTGCGACATCAGACACCGTGCATGCATGAGCTCCCGTCACCCCAGTCCCCAGCAGCTGGCAGCCAGTACCTGTGCAGCAGGCAGCCAGCAAAGTGCCCAACACCGCTAGTCCAGGTGCTGCAGGCGTTAGGCTGCAGCACCAACCCTGAGAAGACGCTGCCTCCGAGAGAGCAGGCCTCTTACTCCGCCTCTGCCGACATCCTGGGTAGAGGTGTGGGCGCATTTTGGGTAAGGGCATGCACTGCCCGCCCACGTGGGCCAGGGGGCATAGATTTGAAGGCAGAGGGTTCCTGCTGCTCCTAGCCCCTGCCCGCTTGAGGAGGCAGAGTGAGCCCGGTGACTGAGCAGAGTGGCTGTCCCTGAAGCCACTGGTGCCCACTTTCTCCTGTCACCTCAGCCCCAGGGAAGGTTGCACCCTGCCACACCCTGTTCCACCCATCCACACTGTCACCAGGGTCTTCCCCACAGCTCGGGGTGCACCTGATACCTTCCCCGCCTGCCTTGTCTGGTTCCTTCCCTCAGGGTCAGGCCGTGTGCCTGCAGCTCAGCTTGGCTTCCCGAATCCCTAAAGTCATGGCCAAAGCACAGGCACTCACCCCAGGTGGTTTCTTCCAGGTGGCCCTGCTGTGTCAAGCCTCTTGGTGACAGAACCAGGCAGATCTGGAGATAGACACTTGGTGTGCAGAAGTAGGAAATCAAGGTTTCTGCAGAGAGAGAAGGCGGAGATATAAGGGTGAGTGATGGTAAAGATCTGAAAAAAAAATCACCAAGATGTAGTTCTTCTTTCTCCAGCCAGGAGCGTGGTGCACTGGGTTAAGGTCTCCAGAGAGGATTCATTTTGAAATCTTGCTTGTGCAACCCTGAGCGTGAGTCAAGTGCTCCCCGCATCTGCTCCTGTGTCTAACGACACTGGGCTTCCTTCGCCGAGTCTGTATTTGGGCTCTTCCACTACCTGCTCTCCTCTCCGTGATGATTTGCATGACACACACTCAAGAGAACTGATGGATTTCCAGGGGAGACACCCAGTGCAGGTGCAGGAAATAGGATGTGGTCTTGCTGGCACTGTGTCTTCTGGTTTTGGTGCTGGTGTGAACCTGAGACCAGGTTTGCAAGTTTATTCAGATAAAACTTCCCAGTGGAAGGGAGCGCTAAGTGGTTTTGGTGTCAGGGGTGTCCTTGGTTACTACAGGTCCCACTCCTCTGAATGGAGTTTTGTGAAAAGAAAACAAAACTTGACCATGTAGGCCCCACGCTCAGGAGCAGCCTTACAATTCTGCAGACTTAGAGCCAGGCCCTGGGACTTTTCTGGAATTCAGCAGAGTGTGAGGCCAGGATCTTGCTAGGGCCTTAGCACATTCCTGAGCTTCAGCTCTGCCAACTACAAAGTATGAATCACAAGCTCTCTGGGGCCTTAAATGGATATGAGGTTTAAATGGATATGAAGTGACTAGCACAGCACCTGGTGGTGAATAGAGTCCACCACCCTGGCCAGAGGCTGAGGGCATGGCCAATGTTGGCCACGTTAGAGCTCGCAGCAGCAGAGAGACTGCGGGTGGCCACTCGGCCTTTCCAGATCTGAGTATGCAGTTACTAAGGATCCTGCAGGAGCTCAGTGCCTGTGTCCCTTATGAGGGCCTCATGGGTTCTCTGGAAGCACCCGCTTTCTTTCCAGGTGTGGTGGTGCATACCTGTAATCCCAGCAGTTGGGAGGTGGAGGCAGGAGGATCACTGCAAGTTCGAGGTCAGCTTGGACAACATAGTAAGTTCAAGGCCAGCCTGAGCTACACACTGAGACTCTGTCTCAAAACAAAACAGCAAAACAAAACAAAAAACAAAAAGCTGCTTCCTCTGCTTGTCCAGGAGCAGCATGCCCTGCTGTGTTCTAAACCTCCTGACCCAGGATCTTGAAAGCAGCTCCTTTGACTCAACCTGAGAATGGGATATTTCCATCTGCACGCTAAAGTGCACTGGCTGCAGCCCTGTCATCTTGTCAATGAGGAGAGGGGTAGGCAGGAGAGAGCAGGATTCTCATCATACCTGGCACTGGAGCACACTTGGGGAGATTCCAAAAAGACCGCATCAGGATGAAAGTGTTGCCAGGGGTGGTGGTGCACACCTATAATTCCAGCACTTGGGAGGCTGAGGTAGGAGGATCACTGCAAGTCTGAGGCCAGCCTCATCTATATAATGAGTTCAAGGCCAGCCTGTACTACATAGAAATAGTCTGTCTCAAAAAACAACAACAAAAGCGCTTACAGAAGGGCAAGCAGGTTGTGGAAGCAATAAGGGTGCTGAGGGGTCCAGAGATGAGCAGCAGTGAGATTTGTTCCTCTATGCTTTGTGGAAGTCCAGAACACGCCACCCCAAAATAGGGCTCTTTGTCTTAATCATTGTGGAGCCGAAGGCAATACAGAAAAGGCTGGTGCAGGAAAACTCCCTGCCTTCCCTCTGTCTGTTGAAGACAGGACATAAATCTTATGATGGTGAAAGGTCCTTCTCACCTTCTGTTCTGCCAGGAAGAACAAAAGTCAACCCTGAGGACAACTTTAGATCCTATCTCCCTGGAAGCGGCATCAGAAGCTTCTAGGCCCCTGGAGACCAAAATACCTTTTCCTCTGTCTGGTTACTTCTCTAAAAGTGTAGTGCTTTTTGTTGAACAAACTGTGTAAGCTAGAATCCAAGGCACCGATCTGAGACCTGCGCAGTCCCTGGATCTATCCTAGCTGTATATGAAGCAGATCTGCTCATGTACTTCCTTTTCTCCTCTTGTCACCCTGTCTTCTGTTCCTGGGGTCTGTTCCAACTAAGAACTTCTCAGAGTTGTGAAAAAAGTATTTTTCAGTCTTATAGCTTCAAAGGTCAAGAGGTTAATCAATCTCCCCTGAGCTGACATGGGAGGATGCCACTGATCCAGCTCTCTGACTGCCAGCAGGGACCCTCTAAGGCTAAACGCAGCAGGAAGAGAAGGCAGAAGTGTCCTGGGGCCCAGAGAGGATCTGAGGGATCCAACCACACAACCATCAAGTCAAACTGATCCTTATTCTTGCTGCTTCCCTTTCACCTGATCACACAGAGACTCAGGAAAGTGGGATCCTGGAGCAGCACATCTTAGAATTCTTGTGTGCACTGGAAGAGAGCTGGGAAAGGCGCTCCTGCGTGACCTTGAAAACTGTGTTCTCCTGTCAGCATTCAGCTCATGGTTTCTGGGCTTCCCGGGCTGGGAGGTGAGTGCTGTGCGGCCTTCTGCGTCGTCTTGAGGGAAGGTATGCCACCACGCACATTGGTCTGGGGGCCTCTGCTACTAAGCAGGTATGGCTGTCATCACCTCAAGGGGGCCGGGGACTGGGATGAGCAGTAGCTCTGCTCTTCTGCAAAGCAACAAAATGAACATAGTTCACGCTCCCCGGGTACAAGAAGAAGAACCAGCTGGCAGTGGTAGGCGACGTTTGAGACCTGGCTGACTGTCACTCTGAAGGTCAGCAGCTGAGTTGGGGGTTAAACCATTCAAGCTAGAAGTGGAGTTTGTCCTGAGAACAGCTTCCTCCACAGATGGCAGCACTCAGCCGGATGGCTGGAGGGACTGGTGTGGGACAAGAAGATGCAGGGTCACAGCAGTCCGAAGGCACAGCTGACACCCAAGCTCCCTTGTTGCTCGGTGTGGGTTTGTCAGTTGGTGCCTTAGGAAGGTAGAGAGATTCTTGCCTCTTGCCATCATCGATGCTTTTGGTTCCTTGTGGTTTCTCTGGTTTTCGTGCTTCCTGTGACCTACTAAAATAGACCAGCGAGTTCTAGGATTTTACACCTTCAGTTTTGGTTAAACATGATCTGGACGAAAATGGTACCATAGAAAAAAGCAGTTCTGTATTTCTACTTGGTCTGGTCATGTCTTCAGAATAACAAAAACCAGACTATTTCCACTGCTTTTGTACTGCGTGACCAAGTGCCAGGAATCACAAGGAAGACCAGCAACTGCACGTGATTCTCAGAAAGAAGGCGTCCGGCAGTAGAGGTCACACATGCATCTCTCCCCCTTCTTCAAAATTCACCACAGTGTCCAGATGAGCCAAGAATATACAAGACCGTGCTTAAACACAGACATTACAAGGTGGTCAGACTGGTCACTAGGGTCTTTATTAACTTAGCAGGTCAGATGCTTTCATAACTGGGTGAAATAAACTTCAGGGAGAACAGGTGAAGTCAGGAATGTTGCCACGTACACTTGATATAAAGCTCTCTCAGGGTGCTTAAGAGCTTGATCTGAACTCTGTATTAGGGAGATGATCCTGTGTTCTGCTGTGGTCCCCATGCTTTGTGATAGATGCCTCAGAGGAGACCTGTTCCAGGAAGGAAGCAGTAATGGGGACAGAGTCCATGTAATTCATTTATGGATGCCTCTGGGACATGACCTTCCAGGCTGGAAGGAGAGGCCACCCCTCACTTAAGGGCTGTGTCCCAGCCTGAGGCTTGATGAGTCACCGAGAGGGCCCCAGGATGAGGTTTTGAGCACACGGAGCGGCTTCCGAGGTGCCCCAGGGAGGGGCATGATGCTCTAGCAAGCAACAGGTAACCCCAATTGTGCTCTGAAGAAAGCCACAGAGCAGCACCAGGCAGAGACTCTGATCAGTGGACAATGCTGGCCCCACTCTGGGTGGGCGGCAGGCCATAGGGATGGCAAGACGGACCTTGGCTGGCATGACAGATTGGGTTGTGGCCAAAGGATGATGGCTTTGCAGGAAGCCTGGATACTTGGAAGTGGGGGATACAGGAACATGGAGGATGGAGGGCAAGGTATTCACTGTGCAGCTCAGACATATGGGACACTTGTGGAAAGAATGCATGTTGAAAGCAAAATTTGATTCCTTACAAGATCAACAAACAGATAAACCTATTAAGGAAGAAAAGAGGAAAGATACAAATATCTAAAATCTGGTGCAAGGGGGGCCACTGGTGCCAACTCTACAGAAATAAAAAAGATGATAAGAAAATATTGTAAGTAATTATACATCAAAAATTAGATAAGCTAAAGGAAATGAACAAACTCTTCCAGAACAAATAGAAATAGAGAATCGGAAAATATCTGTAAAAAACAAAGAGATTATATCAGTAAAGTAAAATCTCTCCAAAACAACAGCAAAAAGCCTGTGCCGGATGGCTCCACTGGTAAGTTCTCTAAACATTTAAAGAAAAATTAACTCAAGTCCTTCTCAATTCTTTCCCATAAAATGGAAGAGGAGAGAAAATTTCCTTACTTATCCTTTGAAGCCCAGTATTACTGTGGTAGAAAAGCAGATAAAGACATCACAAAAAACAAGCCCAATATCCTTAGGAATAGACATGTCAAAACTCTCAGCAGGAAGCGTGTTTCAGCACCTTAAAGTGTCATGAATATATCAAGAGGACTTATGGGGTCTTAGTGTATGTTTATGGGAATGGTGGGACAAGCTTTGAAGGAAAGTTAAAACTACATGGTTTGTATTGCTTTCATTCAATTATGCTGAACAGCTTAAATCTAGGCTCTGGTTTTTGCTGTTTAACTCAGGCTGCCTGTTGTGTGATCACCTTGCCCTGATCAACTCAGCACCCGATCATTTGGAAACACCCTTTCTCTGTCTGAAGTTCAGTGTTAGCATTGAATCTTGGGCAAGTGTCTCCTGCCCTCTTCGAATTCTCTTGGCTTTTTTTATTCCTTGGTCCATTTGTCAGT